TTAGCCAAGCAACACAAAGCAGAATATAGAAGAGTGGATTTGGAACTGAAGGACAATAGCTTCACAACCCACACAGAAACTGCCTTATCCTCTCTAATTTAAAAAGCAAACCTCTCCAAGATAGGGACTTTACTAAAATCCTCTTCTCTCACCAGAGCCATACAAGATTTAGTAAATATTTGCTGAACATCATGGGTGATGTTACCATATCCTCGTGACAATACAATCCATTTTGGACCTCAGCCTTCAACATTCGCGAAAACAGCATTCAATTACAGTGCTGTATGTATCTAGCTAGAAAGTTTTTTCTACTCTAAGCACGATCATTTAGGAAAGTCGTATCAGGAGAGTAGAACCTGTCTTTGTGTAAGTGGAGTAGCCTCTTACTGTCAGTAGTTTGATGAAAAGAGGTACTGAGGGCAGCTTAACTGCTCCTGTACAATATCTTTTTTTTTTTTTTTAAATCATAGTTAAGAGGCAGGGATCAGCTTCCATGGTGATATGGGGATTTCTGAAGAGTTTTCAGATAAAGAATATAATGCAAGGTCTGAGGAACTTGCAGGGTCTTTCTAAAAATAACACAGGAATCAGTTGAAAAAAAACTCAGCCTTTGTACCTATCAACATCTTTCTTAACCAAATAAGGCTGACAGAATTTCTATTCTAAGAAGCTAATGGTATTAGTTGAGTGACTGATTACACAGATCACTGGAGGACAGGTCAAAATACAATGGTCTCATATCAGAGAATATAGCAATGGCGAGCTGTACAATGCGGACAAAGAACTTTTAATAACAGCCTTAAAATGGTGTTGATATTGAAAGGCTCAGCCCAGAATTATCTATGTCAAATTAATTACACTTCCCTCGTCTTTTCCTTTCCATTGAAATAAAAATGATAATGAGCAACACTACTTTGCAAGATGTCTATCAGCAATTTCTGAGTAATTTCTTTGAAACACTCCGAACTCAATGAATATCAATTATATTATATGCTATGCATGAAAAGACTCTAGCCACTAAGAACTGTGCAACATTATTTTTATTTCAATGTCAAATTCCCAAGAAAAACACCCAGAAATTGCTATGCACATTTGCATTTATAGCTTAATGGAACCTGTTTATTGTCAAGGAGTCCAAGGTACACTGACTATTCGGGTAATATTTTATCCTAAAAGTAGGTATTTTCTTCTCAACTTCCATTTACATTGGAGCACACCACCAGTATGACTTAAGAAAAAGATGGTCTATTTTCTAATCATTTCTAAAAGAGAATGGAAATAAAGATCACAGGATGAATAAGTGAAGCAGCCAATGAAGATTATAGAACCATAAAATGCTCTGTGACTTGCTACATTGTTGATAAGAGCAACAAGATAAAGAGATTTAAGTAGAAAACCATACTTTAAATATGGAAGAATAATGTTTAAGGAATGGCTAATTTGTTTCCCTCTAGAAATCTTTAGTACATGGTTCTCTTGTGAAGTCTAATCAATTAAGACCTTACATGCTATTCTACTTGAGAGTGGAATAAGGAATACATTTCTTGTGTTATAAATGAATCTCATTTTCAGGGATTTGAAATATAGCTTTATCCAGACTATAGTGCATTTGTGTGTCATCTCATCTTTCTGCATTATAGCAAAATTGATTTTATGATTCCTTACTCATAAATTACAGGCCTGAGGCAATAACAGCCTTGGAGATGCTTCTGCTTGTCTCCCCTCATCTCACAGCTGGATGTGTCACTTGTTCTTTTTTTCTGAGCCACATCTAGCTCAAGCTTGCAATTCTGGTTGTAGTTTTCAACCTTGAAAAAGAGTGGTCGGTTACACCCAGAATGTGTTCTTAGCTCATTTGGATCCTCTAAACTGCATATCATCTCTGAAGCCTTTAGCACCTCATTAGAATTAAACATTTTGTTAGAAATTAATAGTGTGCTCACTATGCAAATGAACACACATCACAACATGGGTACCATTATGAACTAACAGCTACAAAAATCAAAGGATGTCTTGCTTCTCCTCTCACCATCACCTTCTGATATAAGATCAAAGTGGCCCACGGTGATATTCAGATTTCTGGCAGTCTACTAGTGAGTGCTACTTTCATGTAAGGATGTGGTTTCTCAATCAAGAGAATTATTACCTTAATGCCTCCTTATTTTTTTTTTTAAAAAAGACTCCCTGTTGGTTCTTCAATATCTAACTAACTAGAGGGAAGAGTAGGTTATAAAATAAAATTATAAAGCACACTGAATTTTCTCTGACTTCTTAGACTCACACATGGGAGATCAGGCAGTTACTTGAGGCCACCTCAAGAAGACCAGGTGTGAAGGAAACAGAAGTCAAGTCTCTTCATCTTGCTCTCCGGCAAGAACCTGACTCCAGGCTTAGATTTCAAGAATGAACAGGAGTCACAGGATGAGAATTCAGCGGAGTTTACACTTTCCCTCCCTCCTCACATACCCAGCATGTAGCTCCTGAATTCATCTCCACTGTTTCTGTCTGCCTCGGCTGGTCTCTCTAATTGGATATGCAACAACTTTGTGTCCCAGTCCAGGCAAGAATAAAGAATGTTGTCAAGGGAGCACCGAGTTAAAAGTAAGGAGAAAGGTTTAGTTCTATAAATATTTTAGCAAAACTAATCTTACTCCCCTAATCTTGGAGTCATTTTTTTAAGTCCAATTAAATTGTTTGGTTTTAATATTTCAATTGACTACTTGCTTTCTCTATATATAATAGTTCTAGAAAGAGATCGCAAATCAGAATTATTAATTACTATTCATCGACTGAGAAAATATGAGCCCCAAAGCACCATTGTTTGAGCTGGTGCTTTATATCTACAGTTCCCCACCCCACCTTTTAGGGACTGGGCCACAGAGCTCTGTTCCTCTCTGCCCCCAACCTTCCCCCCCACCCCCCATACGTGGAAAAATTGTCTTCCATGAAACCGGTTCCTGGTGCCAAAAAGGTCGGGGGCCACTGCAGTTTATACCAATCACAGAATGAAGAGAAAGGCAATAGTTAAGCATGGCAATAGGATCCAGAACAGTTTCCACTTCTTGCTGAGTTGATTTTTTTATGGTTATACCTTCTGAGAATATTTGGCATATCTCAAAAGAATATAATTCAAAAGAATTATACAAAATACATAATATACTCAACAGTAAGGACATAATCCAGTCAAGAATTAAGTTTCAGATTTTCCCTTTTGGGTAATTTGCCACATTACTTGCTTCTTCTGGTACTCACATCACTTGGATGGTTTCTCTAATAGTGTTCACCAATGTGCAATGTAATTTGTTTGTGTAAACACATCCAACTACCACTGAGACTGTGACTTCTTGAGGGCTGAAATTGCTGCTTCTTGTTTTCCTAGCATCTTAATACCTACTTCACAGAAAATTCTCAAATATTTGTTGATTAATAGCTGGGTGTGGTGGTACACACCTGTACTCCCAGCTACTTGAGAGGCTAAGATAGGAGGATCACTTAAGGCCAGGAGTTCAAGTCTAGCCTGAACATCATAACAAGATATCTCTTTAAAAAATCGGGTGCTGGGTATCGTAGTTCATGCCTATAATCCTAAGACTCTGAGAGGCTAAGGCAGGTGGATTGCTTAGTCCAGGAGTTCCTAGACCAGCCTAAGCAACACAATGAGTCCCTGTCTCTACATAACATAGTAAAATGAGCTGGGTGTGGGGGGCATGCACCTGTAGTCCCAGCTACTCCGGAGGGTGAGGCAGGAGGATGGCTTGAGCCCAGGAGTTTGAGGCTGCAGTGAGCTAGGCTGATGCTACTGCACTCTTGCCAGGATGACAGAGTGAGACCCTGTCTCAAAAGAAAAAAGTTGAGGAAACAAAATTCTTGTTTGGGGCTAAAATGTATCATACTTCTGATACATTTTTAGAAATATCATAATGCAGAAAAAGTTCTAATGCACACCACAGTCAAATCATAAAAGTAGTGAGTATGAATGAAACATACTTAGATGGATCTCCCTGAGGTGGATAAGGGGGTCTATATCAAATAAGGTTAAAACCCAGTCTTCTATAAGGTCTCCAGCCCATAGGCAACAACTTTCCTTATTAGCCTAAGACCAACTAAAACATATTCCATTTTTTCTGTATCCATTGCCATTAAACAAATTGGCAGTGTTTTTGCTTGCTCTTTTTGTTTTCTTGGGAAAGAGGTGTACCTTCTACTTGAGAGTTACTCAAACAAAACTTTAACAATTTTATGTTAATTCTTTAGATTCCCTTGGGAATATCCTAGTTTTTCCAGATAAAATACTGCCAAATTCTTAAGAGCAGTTTGAAGCAGATTTTGGACTGTGAGTCCAATTATGCACTCCTAAAATGCAGTTTTCTTTTGAAGTAGTTCAGGACAAAAAGGGTAATTTCAATTCTTTGGTGCCTAAACCTTGCTTCCTCCATCCTTGCAACCTATTAGCCTCTTTATTTCTTTCTAATGATATTCCTAATAACATTGGCGGAAAAGAATCTGTGGGTAGTTGAGATTAATAATTACATTTTTCTTTCTGGTTGTGCTGTGTATTACACATTTCCTTCAGTTTCCAATTATGGAACTTTGGCAAGTACTCAAGTGAACAGAGTAGTTTAGAGTCTAATTGTTTTACACATTAGCTAAAAGAAAAGTTCTTATATGTGTTAGGCAAATATTAAGAAATAATGCTTAGCATGAATTGTTTTTTTAAGACTTACATAAATATACTTTCCTTTAGGGCAATGATTATTAGGGAGAAAGGTGGAGGATATATATGAGGTTTACCCAGGGGAGTTTTTCAAGCTATACATTCCTACCCCCAGAACATTGATCCATTTCTTCCTGTTCTCTCCCTACAATCCCTAGATCCACTGATAGTAGTGTACCAGATCCCACTGTATGCTAGGGGTAGAAAAACTTAAGAATCATGGCTTGAGACTTAACATTGGATAAAATGTTTCCCATTGGAATTCTACAAAAATATAAGAAGACAATTTGTTTAAATTATTGTATTTATTTTTCAGATTATCCCTCTTAGTCCTGCATGCATTGTTAGCACAAAAAGTTGAACTTGATCACAACCTCCTGAAGAGCAAGTAGGTACACAACCATCATCTGAAGAGTTTCTCCATGGATGGCCCAAGAATTCTAGACATTGATAACACTGTCAGTAACCTACACAACGTTCAATAGAAAAATTTACCAAATATCCTCTGTTTAATGTAAACAAGGCAGGAGGCAAAACAGAGTATTACAGTAACACTATTTTACAGGGCCCAGAAATATGATTATCTACCATGTTTTAACACATCAAATGTCACAAATGACATGCATATTTCGATTATACAACCCAAAATATAATTACCATATAATCTGTGGTTTTAGCACTTCACTGTAACTTCTTCTGTCAATACCTATGAACTTCATAATTAAATGGTAATTGTATATTAATGCAATAATTTTATGGAAATACTTTACCATGAATTTATGAAGTAACTCCAGAATTTGTGCCCCATAAAATTAAGTGTAACAATCTTTACACTAGCAACAGTGTAAGCGAGCTAAGAATTTTGGTCCTTATATATATACATATATATACATACATGTACACAAACAATAATGTATAATTAAACCAAAAAGCTATGAATCCACTCACAGCTTCCATATTGCACAAACAGATACATTATGAGAATGTTACATAGTTATAATGTGAGTACTACAATGATAATTGGCTAAGACAAATCTGAGTTCAATCAAGTAAACAATGTGGCTCATAACTAAAAATAAAGACTATACTGTTAGAAAGTTTTTTTAAAAATGCACATACCTATTTATACAAATGTGAAGCAAGGCTAAAATTCAGTTTGGAACTTGCTATGGCGAGCAATTGTTACGGTGGTACTTTCCACCCAACATAGTGCATTTCCGTCACTGTTTTTGCAAGTACTGAGTAATAGAAATATTCAGCTTTTAATAGACAGTAAGAAAGAGACTAGTGAAGCAGTACAACTTTTCACTAACAAACCTAACTCACTGTGAGAACTTGTGCTGGCTCTAGGTCTGAACTAAATATTAAAAAAAAAAAGGAAAGAAAAAAAAGAAACTTAGAAGAGAAACAAATGAAACAAGTGTTAGCTGATTATAAATCAAAGTTATAATAATAATAACTTAGGAAAATTATATTTTCAGAAGCAGCATACACAAACACAAATATAAGAGTTAAAGCTTTTCAGAGCTTGGTTTCATGGATTAGCTATAAGGTCCTATAGCGAAATCAAGGATAAAAGAGTATTTGGTTTGAGAGGTAACATCATTGCTATTACACCTACTAAGCACTATGAAAACATTAAGAAATATCTAATATCTCTTAATGCCTTATTTTATATACACATACGTCAAAATAGACTGTAACTACACTAAAAATGGAGATGTTGCAGTGTTCCTTGAAATGATCAAAAAATACAACAAACTAAATGCTTTCCCATCATTCAAAAATCATTTAAAGAAAATCATGCATGAAGTAACTATCTCCCACTTCTGTTTTTTATTGTTTTACTTAATAAATTTCTTAGAATCATCTAACAAAGATTTGCATTAAATTAGAGATTTAGTCTTTTTGTTGTTTTAACAGTGGTAAGCATTCTAGAACTAAGACTATTCATAATCTTTTAATATTTTGTTCTTAATAAATAGCAAAAACTATAAAATAAATCAGAAAAGCTAATACCACAAAATGAGCAGACAGGTGTAAAACATGCTTCAATGCTCATGACACATGATGTATACATGCAAACATGCTACGTAAAATAACTTCCTAGAAGGGGAAGTGACAGCTCCTTTCAAGATGGAACATCTGATAGTCCGCTCCCCCAAATATCAGTAAATGGAAAGGTCAAGAGGAAAGTGCTGCTGCTTAACATTTCAACTAAAAAATAAAAACAAACAATAGAGTAAAAGCAGTATTTGCATGATTAGCATCACTCAAAGGAAAAACAGAAAGTGGACTAGCAAACACCACTTTGTCAATCAAGTACAAGCATGCTGTGCCCAGCGCAGCGTTGCTAAACTATCCATTCCTACATATATTCCCACTCACATACATACCCAATTCCCCCAAATCCTTTAACGTGTAAACAGGACATTTAAAAAACCGTTTTCTTTCATCTCTTTAGAATCATTTAAAACAAAGACTGAACAAAATGAAAAAAAAAAAAAAACCCTGTAAACATTAAGGAGGCCATTGGCATTTTGATTGCTGCCTACGAGTTATCAGTTCCCAACCTAGACACTACCATGCATTTCAATAAGAAAATAAAATTATAAAGCAATTTTATAAAGCAATTGTCAGAGAGGGAGAGAGAAAAAAAGAGTTCTCAACCCACATGTTAATTGCTTAAAAAAATACAATTGTAGCAAATACTACCAATGATGAGCATAAATTCAATGTTGTTGCAAAAATGACACAGTTTAAACTGGGACCCATACTTGAAAATTAATCACTAACATGACTATGTGCACAAAAGAGTAAAAGAACATTTCTTTAAAAATATATATATTAATCAAGAATTTCTTTATCATATTAAATTGTTATTCTTAGAAAAGCTGAAGAAAGTTAATGGTGCTCTACACATTTTTATTTCCTATAATTAATTCGTTTGATGGTTCCTAAATTGTATTTTTTTTCTCATTTACAGTTTAATATTTTGTTTGATAAGAATTCTGACCTTAAAAAGTTACAAAATTAGTGATTTTTTGCTACTTATTAATCCAAAAGAATATAAGCATTTGAGTCCCAGAGAATGTCAAAATGCCTTGCTACCTAAAAGGATATTAAAATAACAGAAATATCATCAAAGTCATGACATCAGAAATTTTGCAGCTTTTCACATAGTCATTAGAAATGCTTATTTCCTGAAGTTCCTTTGATTGTATCCTGGATTCAACAATGTGCAATTTTATATATAGAACCATTATGATAAAGCCAATGAAAACAACATTATACAACATTTTACCGAGAATATGCACTCAATAGGTTCTTCATGGTTCAATCCAGTTTACAGCAACATGTCATTTAAAAAGGCTTTTTATCCTCTTGTGGCTGGGTGGAACTGAGTCTTTTTTGGATGAAATGTACACAACAGCTCTGCTCCCCTCGTTACTTGAAAGATGTTATTTATGATGTGGAGGAAGCATGATATTTCACAAATGCAATTGCTGCCAGCTCCTTACAGAACTCTTCTAACACAATCACACCCTCTAGGAGAGTGATGTGGTCAATACTGGTAAGGGAATAGCAAACAATAAATCAATTCAAGATATCAGCAGATCGTTAAATGTGGTAAATTTTTTGGATTAAAAAAATATGTAAAACACTAACTTACATAGGGCCTTCGGGTTCCAAACCAAGTAATCGCTTTCTGACTAACAGAAGCTTGGGAGTAAAGTCTTGAATACGCTGGATTCGAACCATAAGGTCTCCAACAACCTGTATCACAGAGACAAGGAACTCAGTTCCTGAAATCAACTACAGAGATTCATGGGATTAAAAAACCAAAAAAACTTCATTTCCTATTACCAAAAAAAAAAAAAATGTAAACTTACATAACCATATTTGACCAAGGACTTATACCTATTCTTTAAAACATAAAAGTCATATATGTTATTTAGAAGAATAAATTTTTCTTCCCCCTCCATTCTGAAAAATAGTTCAAAATGCACAATACTTTTAAATAGTAGATATAAAACTTTCTTTTTTTTTTTCGAGACAGAGTCTCACTCTGTTGCCCAGGCTAGAGTGCCGTGGCATCAGCCTGGCTCACGGCAACCTCAAACTCCTGGGCTCAAGCAATCCTTCTGTCTCAGCCTCCCGAATAGCTGGGGCTACAGGCATGCGCCACCATGTCCGGCTAATGTTTTTCTATATATTTCTAGTTGGCCAATTAATTTCTTTCTATTTTTAGTAGAGACAGGGTCTCGCTCTTGCTCAGGCTGGTTTTGAACTCCTGACCTAGAGTGATCCACCCACCTCGGCCTCCCAGAGTGTTAGGATTACAGGTGTGAGCCACTGCACCCAGCTAAAACATTTTTCATTATGTGACAATTGAATACAATGATATTAACATATTAATTAGATAAGTTTATCAATCTTAGAGACTATAATAGAACTACTAACTCACCCTCACAATTACAGAGAAGAGAGATCTACAGCCAGATGCAAGGTTCACATACGGATCCAAAAGGTACTCATGTATGTGTGGGTGAGGGAAGAGAGAAAGTCTAGATAACACCGAGGTTACTTGTAAATTCACATCGTATGGCTATGGAGAGGCAAAAAAACCAGAAAGACAATTGATGTTATGTATAATGTATATATCTGTGCACTTAATTTACTATTTCAATTTGTCTTTTCCAATAAAGGAAAATCCACCATCTTACTCCTCCCTCCACATATTCTTCTGCAGTGAAAATATCTACAACTAAATTAGCTCTCATCATCTTAGTCAAAGTATATATATATATATATCATATTCCTAAAACTTTAAAAAAAGGATTTAAAAAGCATGCACATAAACATATAGAAAAGACAAATATTTGACATAGTTAGGATGTGTTTTATGCAGGTTGATTTAATTCATGAGATAGTTCAAGAGGTCATCAAGAACCACCAGTGTGTTATATATAACAGTAACTACAAACAATAGAGGACACATTGAGCATATGACCAAAGAACTAGCAGGGAAGGTATTATATCTTTTTCAGTATAGTAATATAATTTTAGAAATGATACTCCTCACTTCAGATTATTCAACTACTGCCAATTACCAAAAGCATATACACAGTAGAGTAAAGTCAAATCATAGAAGCTGTCAATAGGATGAAAGTACTTGGGGATAGAAATGACGATACTATGCCTCAAAGAGAATGAGTAGATTCAAAATGGTGATTCTAGGGAGGGATCATCTCATTTCCCTCATTAACTCTCCCCCAAAACAACTGTGCATCTGTGTACAGATTTCTCATACATTTCTGTGTGTAATATTCTTCTGTGTGTAATTTTAAATCCTTGGTCATAATGAATACCAATTAAGCAACTTTGGCATTCAAAGGAGAATGCTTGGGCACATGCCAGAAGATAAAGACATTAGGATGAACATATATTTTGTTATATAAACAAAAATTCTCAACTCCTATGCTCTAAGTCCAATTTTAGTCTTTCTTACTCACCATCAGATTCATAAATATGGATTTTTTTTTGGGGGGGGGGGAACTACCCAAGTCATTCCTTTTCAAAATCTAGCTTTAAGCAAGATAAATGAAAGGAAATACATATTCCTAATAAAAGATGGTTTAAAAGTATATTCCCTTGATAACATGTGACATAATGTATAATAAGCAAATTAGCATAATTGGGATTTCATCACCTCCAACATTTATCTTTCTTTTCTTTGTGTTAGGAACATTACAATTCTTCTCTTCTAGCTATTTTGAAATATGCAATAAATTACTTGGGTTTTTTATTTGATTTGATTGTTTGAGAAAGGGTCTTGCTCTTTTACCCAGGCCAGAATACAGTGGTATCATCATAGCTCACAACCTCAAATTCCTGTGCTCAAGCGATCCTCCTCTGCTTCAGCCTCCCAAGTAGCTGGACTACACACACCCACCTGGGTACTTTTTAATATTTTTGTAGAGACAAGGTCACACTATGTTGCTCAGGCTGGTCTCAAATTCCTGGCCTCAAGCATTGCTCCTACCTCAGCCTCTCAAAGTGCTAGGATTACAGGTATGAGCCACTGTGTCCAGGTGAATTACTGTTAACTATAATTTCCCTACTGTACTATCGAATATTGGAACTTACTCCTTCTAACTGTACGTTTGTACCCATTAACCAACTTTTCACCATCTCCCCCTCTCAATATTTGCAATAAGCCGGGCGCGGTGGCTCACGCCTGTAATCCTAGCACTCTGGGAGGCTGAGGCGGGCGGATTGCTCGAGGTCAGGAGTTCGAAACCAGCCTGAGCAAGAGCGAGACCCCGTCTCTACTAAAAATAGAAATAAATTAATTGGCCAACTAATATATATATATAAAATTAGCCGGGCATGGTGGCGCATGCCTGTAGTCCCAGCTACTTGGGAGGCTGAGGCAGCAGGATTGCTTGAGCCAGGAGTTTGAGGTTGCTGTGAGCTAGGCTGACGCCACGGCACTCACTCTAGCCTGGGCAACAAAGTGAGACTCTGTCTCAAAAAAAAAAAAAATAATAATAATATTTGCAATAGAATAGCCTTAGAGACTCAACTCATAATAAACAATGAATTCACATTAAATTATATTTTAGGTACAAAAGAACCATTTATAAAAAATCAATTTAAAAAGAATGCATTTGGTAAAAAATGTGGACAAAATAATTTAAAATACAACTTACGTCCAGAATTGTAGATGACTCTTCATTTCAGGTAATTAAGACTTTTAAGTCACTAAATTTGCAGGTACTTAAATAAATAAGCCAACATAATTTGGCTTCAAACAAAGACATATTACTACTAAGACTTTGTGTTTTTCCTGTATGGTGTTACTTTGGTTTTGTAGCTTTAACATAAATCTAGGTCATAGGTTGTTTAAGAAATTTAAGGCTGACACAGATTATTTCTTAATGTTGTGAAAATAAAAATAAATTTCAGCAAGATAGAATTGTTTCACCATACTCTGAAATGGTCTCTACTTCATATTGGTAATGACTTTAAAACAAGCTGGCTTGTTAATAGTGTTTATATCTATCATTTGGGATGCCTTTATTTTTGTACTTCGTGTTCACCTGAAGGGAAAGCTAACCAGATTTCTCTGGTTGGCCCATTTTTTTGACTTGGCCCATTGTTTTTGACTAAACTCACACCTAATTTTAAGGTATAAATTTTGAGACAATAAATTTTGACTTACAAGCACACTGGTGTTACTAGCAACCAGTCTCAACCCTTCTACTAAAGGCCAAATATGCAGATAGCCAAAATAAGATTTAAATCAAATTTTTAAAAATCTCAACTTGATATTCTCTAAAATCTCTAATAATACCTGTTCTAAAAAACAATCTGTAGTTTTTAAGGTGTTTTAAATTGCTTATTTCATTTAAGTATTACAAATAAAGTAGGAGGCTAGGACAAGTAATATCAACTTCACTTTCACAATAAGAAAATGTGACAAGTGGCTAAGTTACTTGCCCAAGTTCAAACTCTTCACTTTCAGGGAGGGGACAAGACATGGCCTCCTTACGTTTTTCCTGACGTTATTTAGATTCTGCCATGGATGTCAGCATTTTACTATCTTTTAGAAATCACTGCAGCTACAATCATTATTATATGTTTCTATTATAAAGTATTTTTTAAAAATTAACAATATAACAACACAGTAGTGTCATGAATACTTGATACTATTACTTCTCAGTTATGCATGAAGAAATTAGCTACTTTATTAACTATCCATATTAAATGTTTAATCTCAACCTGGTTACCTTGACCCTATTAGGGACACATACTAAGAAAATATAAGCAAGCATCATACTCAGCAAAAACATTTAGGAAAGAAAGAAAATCAAACCAGACCAAAACTGTTAGCACCCCAGGACTCATGTGCATTATCTCTGAGATCAGACTATATAATGTTCTTATCAAAAAGGCTTGGAAAATCAAAGGTTTTTTTAGTTTTGTTTTTTAATTTTAGAGACAGGATCTTACTATGTTGCCCACGCTGGTGTGTAGCGGGCATTCACAGGCATGATGACTGCACACTACAGCCTCAAATTCTTGGGCTCAAGCAATCCTCCTGCCTCAGCCTCCCCATCAGCTGGGACAATAGGCACGTGTCACAGTGCCCAGCTCAAGGGTTTTAAAGACAAAAGGTTTCAGGCTGAGCTCCACAGTTTACTAGCTCTAAGTCACATAACTAAAATCAAGGATTCCTCATCTATAAAATAATACTAGAAATCTGTCTTTCCTGTGATACAGGATGAACAATGATTGAGACAGTGTATGAATCAGCTTTGTGCTATGAAATGCTAGCTGGTGAAATAAAAAGAATCTTAAACCTTTCAGACTATTCTGTTTTCAATGAATCCTTTTGTGTTAGCACTTTACAAACTAAAGAAAAAATGCTCAAATGAGATGAAGATTCTTAATGGACCTTCCAATTCAACTCAGAAATTGCTTTCTAAAATTTAGATTTTTTCAGTGCTTTTGTTCAAATTTTCTAAACATTATCATTTTGATATTGATTGTTAATATCTCCTGCTTGTTAATCAGATTCAAACTAAGCCTAGCAAACTAATGCAAAAAACACAATGAACTAATGAATCCCAGCTACCCAAGAGGTGTACACAGCCATAAAGTGTAGACCAGGGGTCCTCAAACTTTTTAAACAGGGGGCCAGTTCACTGTCCCTCAGACCGTTGGAGGGCTGGACTATAGTTAAAAAAAAAACTATGAACAAATTCCTATGCACACTGCACATATCTTATTTTGAAGTAAAAAAACAAACGGGCAAAACACCCACATGTGGCCTGCGGGCCGTAGTTTGAGGACGCCTGGTATAGACCATAATGCCTATTAGTAGCCAGATTTACATAGTTTGGTTGTCAGGTTTAAGACAAACAACTAAACACTAGAAATACAGCAGATGCTATTCAGAGGTTAAAAGAGAAAAAAAGGACCCGGTCTTTTGATTCCATCAAACAGTACTGCCTGACAGTCTAACCTAGTGAAATACTTCTAAAGTTATAATTTCTTTATTTGACTTTGTGGTTATTGAAGACAGTCTACTTAGGGAGTAAATTTCTTTTATAACTCCCTATGCTCACATAAATATTTAACTAAAATGCTAAAAAAAGAGCAAGTACTTTAATATACAATTTAAAATTAATTCCAAATTGATTAACTCAATTTCTATGTCAAGGCAAGTATTAAGCCAGATGTTTTATTTCCCAATAGTAAAGCATTCGAAGCTCTATCATCACTTTACATGTCAATGAGAGATGGAGGGAAGGATTCCAAAATTCCAAATTCTTTTCTCCTGACAGTTGATGAGACATACATAGCAACATATCTGTTGGTGATTTTTATGCACCTTTGAGGAAGTAAATTAACTGTCTTTATTTCCCCTCTCCCTTATGAAAAAGAGTATCATTCACAAGTTCTTTGAAGAAGCAGATTCATCTAATACTGTTCTATAATTTTAATGAGACCAGAGTCTTCAAGATTCATTTTGAAATGACATTTAAGGTCTTCTGAATTGAGCTTAACAAGTTTTATTCTATCTGTAGCCATACTAACTGTACTAACTAAAAGAACTAAGTTAATCATAAAAGGAAAGCACACTAATCACCTCTGAAATGTGTTAGGGATATTAAGACAATGGCCTATAATGAGAAGCCAAATATATAATTTTGTAATAGCTGTCAGACCAAATAAATGTTTTTAACATACAGAAATGCATCAGAAACCCATTAGTTGTTTGCAACCGAGTTTTATAAAAAAGTCACCCAGTGGAAAAACTAAGAAAACAATAAAAGTGCTTTATTGAACATCTAAACTAAGACTTGAGATGATCCCATGGTGAATGGTAACAAAACAATATGAAAATTAGTATTTAAAAATGTATTACCTGATCAAGAATTCTTCCCATTCTGTCAAACAAAACTTTCAAAAAATGACCTTCAAAGAAAGCTGCTTCTAAATTGCACTTTTCCAATGCTCTCGGAGACCCAGGCCATTCCCATCTTAAGCAGATAGCACAGTAGTCCCGGAACTATGGGGGAGAAAGCATTTGGATCATTAAACAAATTAATGAAATAAAAGTGATTTCCTCAAATAGGCATATAAAAACCATTTGAATACAGAATGTCTGGTACGTGTGAGGTGCCTAGGGGCACAGGTAAGATTACAATCACCAGTAACCAATATAAGTTGATTTTAAAAAGGCATATTTTATACGGGAATGTTCTGGAAAAGAAAAAATAAATAAATAAAAAGGCATATTTTAGCTTTACTAAAATACCCCCTTCTAACCACTATGCTTATGCTAGTTCCTTTAAAGGCATTTAATCCTTTAATTTTCATCATAGATTTAGAGTACATTTAAAAAGCAAAGTAAGACTTAGCCAGGTTTTCAAGTTTATTTTAAAATGTTACAAGTAATAGATGAACAGATGCACGCTACCTGAGAAGGCAAGCTTGATGTTGCTATAATTGATTTACAGTGGGCATGTTGTTAGGACAGGACAGAACAGTGCTACTCAAAGGGCGGTTCATGGACCAGTGCTGGTCCTCAAACTGTATGCCACCAGCCACGATGAGGAGAGAGTAAACATTTTAAAACCTTCATAAAAATTTGACTAAATAGTTTTTATGTCTACTGAATCTAACAATAAAATGATCGGGGCTTATATTTTATGCCTTTCTTTTCATTTTTCTGCAGCAATATTTCATTTTTATTGAATTTTATAAAAGTGTTGGTCTGTGACAGATTAGAAATAAAAAACTGGTCCTTCACTACAGATAGTTATCACTGGAACAAACAATGTGGATTTTTATAAGCGCAAGAATATCTTATACAATAAAAATGAATTTTAAAAGTCTTCCCTGATATATAATTTACTTGAATTTAAGCAAAAGAGAGCTAAAAGCACTGTTTTCTTCCACATTATCTCCCCCTTCAAATTCTGCTTCTTCAATGAAGCAAAAGTACACTGTCCTCTCTAGTTTAGCAATTACCCGACATTTAAAAATAACATATTCTTACTGTGAAGTATTAACTTCAATTTTTAAAAGATAAAACATTTAAAATAATTAAAATGCCGACTTCTTCAATACATTGTGAGTTTTAAACTACTTGGCTTTCAATAGACAATTTTCTGTATAAAGCCACAACTCAATTTTTAATAAATTATTTTCACACTATAATCTCTGAAGTTCTGACCTAGAAAGTAATAATTTTAAATGTTTGTCTATTTTTGTCTGTTTTCTAATATTTCTGTAACAATCATAAGAATTTCATTTGTAAGCACAAAATGGAAATGAGAGAAACTTTACAAAAAGAATAAATGCAGTTTAAAAATCTAATTGGTGGCCAGGTGCAGTGGCTCATGCCTGTAATCCTAGCACTCTGGGAGGCTGAGGCAGGCGGATTGCTCTAGGTCAGGAGTTCGAAACCAGCCTGAGCAAAAGTGAGACCCCATCTCTACTATAAACAGAAAGAAATTAATTGGCCAACTGATAGATATAGAAAAAATTAGCCGGGCATGGTGGCACGTGCCTGTAGTCCCAGCTACTCGGGAGGCTGAGGCAGCAGGATTGCTTGAGCCCAGGAGTTTGAGGTTGCTATGAGCTAGGCTGATGCCATGGCACTGACTCTAGCCTGGGCAACAAAGCATGACTCTGTCTCAAAAAAAAAAAAAAAAGGCCAGGCGTGGTGGTCACGCTTTGTATCCTAGCTCTCTGGGAGGGCGAGGCAGGGATCGCTCCAGGTCAGGAGTTCGAAACCAGCCTGAGCAAGAGTGAGACCCCGTCTCTACTATAAATAGAAAGAAATTAATTAGCCAACTAATACATATAGAAAAAATTAGCCAGGCATGGCGGCGCATGCCTGTAGTCCCAGCTACTTGGGAGGCTGAGGCAGCAGGATTGCTTGAGCCCAGGAGATTGAGGTTGCTGTGAGCTAGGCAGACGCCACAGCACTCACTCTAGCCTGGGTGACAAAGCAAGACTCGGTCTCAAAAAAAAAATTAATTGGACAACTGATAGATATAGAAAAAATTAGCCAGGCATGGTGGCTCACACCTGTAATCCTAGCTCTATGGGAGGCCGAGGTGGGCAGATCGCTCGAGGTCAGCAGTTTGAAGCCAGCCTGAGCAAGAGTGAGACCCCCATTTCTACTAAAAATAGAAAGAAATTAACTGACCAACTAAAAATACATATAGAAAAAATTAGCCGGGCATGGTGGCACATGCCTGTAGTCCCAGTTACTAGGAAGGCTGAGACAGGATTGCTTGAGCCCAGGAGTTTGAGGTTGCTGTGAGCTAGGTTAATGCCATGGCACTCGAGACCGGGCAATACAGTGAGACTCTGTCTCAAAAAAAAAAAAGAGAGAGAAAAAAAAATCTAATTGGTACTATTGAAAGGTATTTTTTACTTTTATTGTCTTTACTTGATTGTTATATGAACACCATTTACTATCCGGTTATCCCAATAATTTAAGTGTTAATGTGGACTTGAATTCAGGCTTAAAGTATTACAGAATAACTATATACATATGCAGATTAATTATATATAATAGCACACCTTCAAAGAATTTAAATGAAACTTAAATGTATGTATTTTTTGTAATTTGAGAAATTTCAAGATTAAGAATTTTCAAATTTTGAAATTCACTTTCAAATTTTGAAATATTTTATTCTAGTTATTCATCAAATACTAAATAGTTACTGATATTGTAAAATATACAGCACCCCAAGCTACATATTTTGTGGGAGTCAAGCATGAATCCTCCCCTCCAGAGATTGATTCCCTTTTAACTCCAATACAAGAAGAACACAAAGGACTCCCAAAAATGTAGAAATAATGCCACAGGCAAAAAGAAGAGCAATTACCTGTACTAATGGGGAAGAGGAGAAGGGCTCCTACCCTTCCTGGTGGAGGAGGGGAGCAGAGAAAGGGGGAAAAGAGAATAAACCAGAAATTGACATTTAATCAGGACCTTGAAAACAGGGTAGAAATATAGATATCAGATGATGAATAAGAAATGAAAGAGAGGAAAAATCATTTAGGCAAACAGAATAGCATCAATAAAAGCACGTGTGTAAATGCTATATTTGGATAGAGAGTGAAAATTGCAAAAAGAAACAAGGATGGAAAAGCAGGCTAGGAAATTGATCCAAAAGGATCCTGAATGCTAAGATTAGATGTCTTAAGTATTTAGACTTCATGAGTTAATAAAGGAGAAGGGGGTACTTATATACTTCAGTGAAATTAATCTGTTAATGGATTCTAAGCAGAATGGACAAGCTGATGAGACAAGTTATGAGGCTATTGTAATCCTAGGCAAAGGGTAATAAAGACTTAAACTAGGATTGTCAAAGTAAACATGGGTAAGGGGACAGACAGGAGAGAGTTGGTGGGGGCAAAACATGGCAAGCTAAGGGGAACGGAAGATGAATGAATCCGAGATAACCCTGAAACACTAACCTTGAGGGACCAGGAGCATGGATGTGCCCCAGACTACGGCAGGAAACAAAGGAAGAGATGCAGTTTTGGAAGACTAATGATAAGTTCTACTTTGGACAGATAAAGTCTGAGGTCTCAGAAGAACATGCAAGTAGCTAGGGCTAGAGCTTTGGTGACACTTCAGATACAGAAGGTCAGATATGGAATTCATGATAGAGATGAATGCAAACCAGAAAAATACCAAAGGAATGAACAGAGTAAAAAGGGCCAATGACAGATTTTTTGGGAGCCACATGATCACATGGTGGACAGAATGAAAAGGACATCTGAGACTTCAAAGTAGCAGCAGCAGTAGAAAGGAATGATGTTGTAGAAACCTTGAAAAAATAAAGTTTTAAATAAGAGGAGGTTAAACAAGTTCAGCAAAGTTGCATGACACAAGATCAATATACAAAAATCAGTTATTTCTACACTAGAAAATTCAGCCAGGCATGGGTCATGCCTATAATCCCAGCACTTTAAGAGGCTGAAGTAGGAGGATTGCTTGAGGCCAAAGCTTGTGACCAGCTAGGGCAACACAGTGAAAACCCATCTCTACAAAAAATAAAAAATAGCCAGGCACAGTGGTACATGCCTATAAGTCTCAGCTACTTGGGAGTCTGAGGTAGGAGGATCATTTGAGCCCAGGAGTTTGAGGCTATAGTGACCTAAGAACACACCACTACACTCCGACTGAGTGACAGAGTGAGACTCTATCTCTTAAAAAAAAAATAAAGAAAAATAAATTCACAAAACAGTGTTACTTATAATAGCATCAAAAAGAATGAAATACTTAGGAATAAATTTAACAAAGGAAGTATAATAACAAAGGAATAAATTTAACAAAGGAAGCATAAGTATAAAACTATCAAACACTGTTGAATAATATTAAAGAGAACCTAAGTAAAGGAAAGTCATCCTGTGTTCATGAATTGGAAGATTTAATATTGTTAAGATGGTGGTACTCCCCAATTGATACACAGATTCAATGCAATCCCCATAAAAATTCCAACTGCCTTTTATTTATGTATTTTTTTTTGCAGAAATGAACAAAGTAATCCTAAAATTCATATGAAATTGCAAGGGACTCCAAACAGCCAAAATAATCTTGAAAAAGAGGAAAAAAGTTGAAAGACTTACACTTCTCAATTTCAAAACTTCCTGCAGGCTACAATAGTAACCAAGACACTGTTGTACGGGGATAAGGACAGGCACATATGTCAGTGGAACAGAATTAAGAGTCCTGAAATAAACCTTAAATTTATAGTTCATAAGTGAGAAATAGCCTTTTCAACAAAGGTGCTGAGACAATTGTATATCTACATGTGAAAAAATGAATCTGGACCCCAACTCACACCATATACAACAATTAACTCAAAATGGATCAAAGACCTAATTGTATGAGCTAAAACTATAAAACTCTAAGAAAGAAACTTCGGTGATAAATCTGTGTGATCTTGGATTAGGCAATGATTTCTTAGATATGATACAAAAAGCACATAGGAAAAATAGTTAAATTGCAGGTAATTTTTAAACAAAATTAAAAACTTTTTTGTGTCAAAGAACACCATCAGTACAGCCAAAGAAAGTGAAAAGACAGCTCCCAGAATAGGAGAAAATATTTGCAAATCATATATCTGATAAGGATCTAGTATGTAGAATATGTAAGGAACTCTTACAATGCAACAACAAAAAGAAAAACAGCCCAATTAAAACATGGGGAAAGGATTTGAATAGATATTCTCCAAAGAAGTTATACAAGTGTCTGCTGAGCACATGAAAAGATACTTAACATCATTAGTCATTACGGAAATGTAAATCAAAATCACAATGAGATACCACTCACATCTATTGGGATGACTATAATTTACAAAAAGGATAATCACATGTACTGGTGAGGATATGGATAAATTGGAACCCTTATCAACTGCTGGTGCAGCCACTGTGAAAAAGTTTGACAGTTCATCAAAAATGTTAAATATAGAATTACCAGGGAGCATAGATTCAAGGCAACTTGAATCTATCCTCCTCGGTTGAAGCCCTCAAACTTGGCCCAAATAAACTCTCTACTTATGTTGGGGGAAAAAATTATTTCTCAAAGTAATTATCTGGAAAAAAAATGTTTTAAAGGAAAAAAAACAAAAAGAATTGCCATATGACCCACCAATTTTACTACTAATTTTACTACTAGGCATATACCCAAGAAAACTATGTTCACACAAAAAGTTTTAAAGGAATTTCCACAGAATTATTCATAGTAGCCAAAAAGTAGAAATAACCCAAATGTCCATCAACTGATGATGGATAAACAAAATATCCATATGATGGAATATTATTCAGCCATAAAAAGAAATGAAGTACCTATAGATGCTACAACATGAATGAATCTTGAAAATGTTATGCTAAATAAAAGAAGTCAGGCACAAAAAGCCACACATAGTATGATTCCATTTATGCAAAATGTCCAGAATAGCAAACCCACAGAGACAGAAGGCAGGTTAGTGGTTGCCAGAGGCTAGGGGTTGAGGAAGAGGAGGAGGCAATGAGGAGTGATGATTACTTTGTACAAGGTTTCTTTCTGGGGTGATAAAAATATCCTGGCATTAGATAGTGATAATGGTTGCACAATATTGTGGGTATACTAAAAACCATTAAATTGTACACTTTGAAATAGTTAAAATGTTGAATTTGGGGGTATTTTTAATATAGTTTTTCTTTTATATTTTACAATGTAAAAAATGCCATTAAGAGGAAAGAATGAGAAAAGGCCCTTTAATTTAATAACTGAGAGCAGACCTTTGAGAAAGCTGTTCCTTGAGGCAGAAAGGTAGGATTCAGGGTCTGAAGGAGAGAGAGTTGAGCAGCAGGGACAACACTTGTGAATTACTGGCTGCCTAAGAATGGTGGGGAGAGGGGGAAGGATAATAGTCTATGGATAGGGAGCAAGGCTGGGTGGTGGGTAGAATTATTAAGATATCATGTTTGGGAGCAGTAGGGGAAATAGATACAGGTGAGGGATCATTTAAAGTAAAAAAAAAAAAAAAAGCATAAAGAAGTCTTGAAGGAGATACAGTCAGTGAAATGCAAACTAAGGTCACCAGCACAAAGCAGAAGTACTGAGAGTAGAGATCAGGTCTCACTTTTAATAACAATGGAGTCATTTCTTTGGAGCAAAGGCAGTGGGCAATGTGACAAGGGGTATGTGTATTCTTAGATTTCATTTCCAAAAATTACTTAGTTCACTAACCTGCCTGTGAGCATCTCGGAGGTAGGTGTCATATCCAGTGCCTTCAACGTGGTAAGATGATTTTGCTTCATCCGGTACCAGACAGAGAAAACTTAAATGGAAAAGGCCATAATCAATAACATAAATACTCTCATAATTCAATAAAATCTTTATATGTATTAAATATCTGTGATATCCAAAGTTTAGCTAAATATAAATACAAATGGAAACTTCAAAAACAAAATTGTGTTAAGTCCTTATCTTGAATGAGTCTTATAATTCACTGATTAAATACTCTTTCATAATTTTAAAGACTTTCTTAAAAAATTACTGATTCCACTTAAAATAGAAATAAGCCTAGGAAAGATTCTTTTTTCTCTTAGACTGCTGCACAATGACAGACTGCCACGATATTTGTTAATCTCAGGAAACTGGCTTTTAAGTAATTGCATTTGGGATTTTTATGCACCCCAATTTTGCATCTTGAGCCACATGTAATTTTTTCTAAAGTCACCTGCCAGAACGAGGCATATGGATGACAGTATTACAAGGGAAGAAAAAGAGAGAAGAAAACTGCTACAGAAAAAGGTACTTTTTAAAAAACATAAAATCACAAATTAAAAGGAACAGCCCTATGCTTAGCACACATGTTTAATAAGTACATTTTGCCAAACTGGCAGTTCTCACTGCTGTTACAATTGGCAGTTAAATTTAAGTCATTTGTATTAAAAAACATTGGGATACCTTGAGGGTGTATTTAATCACTGTTATTTATTTTTATTTTTAAATTAAGTAGAGCTTTCTTCTTGTTACCAACTGTTGCCCCCAGGCTGTCACTTCCTTATGTACAGGGAAGACAAAAAAGCTGACATAATATTTAAAGAAGATTGAGTTCATAATATATTTCTGAAACAATCGAAGAGCAGAACTATTCTATGTTACAAAAACAAGTAAAAGAGTTGTAAGTCAAATTTAGATAGAGACTCACCTATTGACAATTTTATGGACTTCAGTTTTCCCATCATTTTTGGGGTGGTCTGGAGTAGTAGGAGGAGAACTAAGCCACTCTTGGTTTGACAATGTGTTATCTGGTGAAATGTCAGTAAATAATGGATCTTCTTCCAGATCTCTAAGTTTCATTTAATGATGCATAAGAAACAATATTTTATTATGACATTTTCTAAACCAAAAGATTCTCTGCTATGTTCTTACAGAATATTACATAATTTTTCTAATGTAAAAGATTAAGGAATAATATTTTATATTTTATAGACAAATTTAACAAACAAGAATATACTAATTTTGTCATTAGGTGATGGATACATAATATCACTTGTCATTTAAAAGGAGAGTACCATCCAGGCATCTAATTTTACTTCTTAAAACTTTTGTTAAGATTTTTTTTTTTGTTCTGTTTTGTTTTTAAGAAGAAGGGAGAGAAATACAGAGAAGGTTCTAACTCTAAATGAAATGCTGACTCACAGAGTTGGATGGAAACTTACACTGCTCCTGCTATCAATCCATTTTCTACCACATCTTTATCTTCTGGGCACAAAGGTTTATATTCTGTATAATTTCTTTCTTCAAGATTTCTTAGGACCAAGTTGTAAAGAATGTGCTCATTGGGTTTTTGTAAAAGATGTTCAAACATTCTTAATGTCATTATGCTTATCTGAAACCAAAATTGATAAAAGCTAACTGAAAAATATCTTTAAATCAGTTGTTGTTCTTGCCAATCTTGTCATGCTTTTGATTTTTAAAGCCACATAAAAAAGAGGCTGTATTTAAAACATCCCAAGTACATTAAAATCAGTATTTTAAAGAGTCTAACTCCAATTCTAAATCTAAATCGCTTACCTCATCAGAGATGTGATCACAATGTTCAATTAACCTGTGTCTTAAAGGATGTCTGCTAATTTCTGCCAGAGTTTCTGGTTCTCTCTGTTCTCCAAGGATAAAAAACACCATTTCTTGAAGTAAAACATCAGAGGTTACTTGCCGAACGATGCGATGAAGCAGAGCAGTTGATGTCAGAATACCCATCTCAGAACTGAGCACATCACAAATGGATAATTAGTGGGCAAAAATGACATGAACACAGTGCTTTTTATTTCTTTTTTTAAGAAATAAGAAATTTCTTATTTAAGAAATCAGCTACTCACGTTTGCATTAACTGAGGTTCCATAACACCAATGAAAAATCTTTCATGAACAGCTTTGGCAAGAGCAACAGCAGCAGTCTAGAATATAAGCATGGTTATGTTTTTCTTTATTAACGTAAAAGAGAGATTAATTTGTAACATCAGCAAATCAGTTTGTACTCTATCTGAATTAGTGTGGAAAGACAAAACTTGCCCTTTGACCATCTTGTTGATGGCAATCAAACCTAGATTAGATGTCAGTTACTGGGTCGCTTACATTTTTTCTAAATTTGAATAAGTGGAATGGAACAAAAAAAATTATCCCAATAACTTTATAGTATCAACATCTCCCCAAGGAACAAGACTACAGGGAAGTCAATATTACTTTGTGAAGCACTGTACCAAAATACTTCAGGAAATATAAAAGGACAGAACTTGAACTTCGATTTATTCCAGAATTGTAAGACACACACGCACATACATGCTTTTTTGTTTTATTTCACTAACTGTGCTATCCTAAGACAACCAAGATATATTTGGGGATATAAACTAGTTATTTCCAATGTCCTTAGTAGACATTTACACTTTAAAATGGCCAATAAATAACAAAAAATTCAAACCTTTTGGGCTTCCTTAATAAGTTGGTCACAATAATCAAACCAGGAAAGAAATGAAATTAAGGCTCGTTTTCCTGGAAATGCTGAAGCATCTTCTTTATGACTGTATGAGTCCAAGCTGTAGGACAAGGAAGAAACCCTAAGTCCAAAGATATCCAAAAGCACGAACCCCATTCAGTACAATGGAAAAATAAAGGTACATGAATGAACTTACACAGTATGACACATACACACAGGCGATGCCACATGACAATCAGAAGAGGGTTTTATAAAAGAAGCCAAAGATAAGAGAAAAATTTTTAAATAAGAGTTGTAAATAATTTTCACTTATTAAGTGGGAGGAGAGAGACTAAAGCAGAATGGAGCTGCAGGAGAAAAACCATTCAGACAGCTCCTCATACTTCTGCCATGAATCTGATCAAGTGACAGCAAGGAAAAGGTGGAACTTCTCAGCTACTGGGAAGGCAGAAGAGAAAGGTAAGGGAGGATCTGCAAAAAGAAACAGTGACTGGTCTGCTTCTCTTCCTGCCTTAAAATGCAATACCGTTGTGATGTCAACAAGTGGGTCTGCCCCATAGATGCTGACAGAATACAGTGTGGAAAACAACAAGTAAAAAACAATGATGGGTTAAGCATATAGAGAAAAAAAATAAAAAGTTATGTTCTTTTAGGGGAGCCCAAAAAGGCAGGTAGAGGGGTGAAAGACTGAGGTAGGAGAGATTCTATACGAGCAGGCTGTAAGATGTATTAGACTGCTCCATAGGCAGTGGAAATTATTAAAAAGTAGATTCCTTCTTTTAGAGTTCTTTACTTTTAATAAAAATAATCAGGTAAAGGTATTTGTCTTAATGTAAGCCCTTAAAAATGGATCAGTGTAAGGAACGAAAATAAAAGTAGAGCAACTGTAACACACAACAGCTGGATTGTTGCCACACCAATTCACTACCACTGATTGATAAATTTATCACAAGCCTCAAGAAAACATTCCCGTTTAATGATCACAGGTAGTGTTACATTTTTTGAAACTACATATTTCTACCATGGCAAAATAGAAATGCGTTTTATGTTTTTATTATTTTTTTTTGAGACAGAGTCTCGCTTTGTTGCCCAGGCTAGAGTCAGTGCCGTGGCGTCAGCCTAGCTCACAGCAACCTCAAACTCCTGGGCTCAAGCAATCCTTCTGCCTCAGCCTCCCAAGTAGCTGGGACTACAAGCACGTGCCACCATGCCCGGCTAATTTTTTCTATATATATATTAGTTGGCCAATTAATTTCTTTCTATTTATAGTAGAGACGGGGGTCTCACTCTTGCTCAGGCTGGTTTCGAACTTCTGACCTCGAGCAATCCTCCCACCTCGGCCTCCCAGAGTGCTAGGATTACAGGCGTGAGCCACCTCGCCCAGCCTAGAAATGCGTTTTAAAATGTAGGTGTAAGAAGTCACCTTTATGGGAAAGTATAAATAACGGTGCTTACCCCCAGTTAATTGCTTCTACTGTTTCAATATCTAACGGATCCACTGATTGAGGTAGGGCCTTGTACAGGGAGGCAAGTCTGTCTGTCAGCAGTTCACATAAGCAAGTGCTCTGGGTAAGGCACTTGGCCGCCGCCGGCTCCGGCAAACTCACTAACAACATCAAGCCCTCGCACGCTTTCACAGCTATTCGGCCGTCCTAAGAGGGGAAAAAAATTTAATACCCCTTCAATTCTTGCATTATATATACATCAAGTTGTTTGGAAAAATTCAACATAAAAGGATTTTATGTTTTATATTAAAAGAAGAATAGATTCTTTTTTTCTATTTTAAAGGCACATTATTAAGATCATGTTAGAGAAAAAAATGTGAAGATGATTCAGAGAAATGTGAGTTGTGTAATAATGATTAAAAAAAAAGATGACAACTCACAGGACTTCTAGTAAGATTTAACAAAGAATTCACTAAATTATAGTCCTGGTTTGGACGAACAACTGAGGCCTCTGGCAGTGACGTGACAGTGAGGCTGTCCAAGCTTGTGGACAGGTCGTCCACGTGATGCGGAGACTCATCGTCTAATTCTGCTTGCTCCATTCCAGCAGCACCAGATAGTTCCTCTGGCTGACGGGACTGTCCTGTATCTGTTGACAAGGAATCTTGACCTTTTAATGCGTCTTCTGAAATTACATTTGGTACTCCTTTGGAAGCCAATGATTTCAACTTATTCTGAAAAGGAATACATGTTGTGTAAGATTCATATCAAGAAACGTGTAAGCCAGAAATCACATTTTAATGAATTTTTCTATAATTAACATTCCACATGCCTAACCAAAGCAGTGATAAATGTTATGTCAAATGAAAACACTCGGACTTTTAACAAACTGTATTTTCAAATAATTTTACAATTACAGTTTATGATACTAACTACATACTAACTACAAAATGTTTTATACTGAACATCAGCAATGAACAAAATTAGTGATAACTATTTGACTACTAGTAAAAACAAATAATATTAGTGGGGAAAAAAAGTTTTAGGAGGTGTTTCCATTGCAGCTAATTTTTTTCTCATTACTGGGCTACTGTAAATACATTGTTAATGTCAATGTTAATTCTTCTAAGATCATGGGGAAAAAATACAAATAAAAATATTTTAAAATTCAAAAGTTATCAGCATTTGACTTAAGATTTGCACAAAAGCCCCCAAATTCTCTTAAATATAAGAACTATTTCTAAGTCTTTTCCTTGTACTTCTACTCTTAAGAATACAAGAAACTACTCTGAGGACATGTTTATTAGTGTATTTAGGATAAGAAGCAAGATATGCCTGAAATGCTGGCACCCTCCCCCAATATACATACCCAAACAGAAACAGAATTCTTAACTGAATCAAATTATTTGTTTTAAGGCAAAAGTGTCTTGCTTTCCATTTGAACATAAGAGCAAAAATCAAATCATACACACAAGTTAAAATTCAGCCTAAACCAGCTTCTCCACAGAGTCTGTCCCAGCGCTTTGCTCATCATAGAAGCACATTCAAGGCTGAATAAATTCAAGGTTCTACTTCCAAATTTATATTGTAATTATTATAAATCACTTTTATTGCTGTCAAAAGTATAGTTTAGAACAGTCTTCTTGAGAAATTGAGCTCACAGCACATGTATTAAAAGAAAAAAACTCCACGGCACTCAATGAATACTCCAATTTGCCAATTTCTAACAAAATCAATTTGCATATTCTAGTCTTTATGAAAGTAAAACATTTTGTTCCATCTAAAATACTTGTAATATTGTTGGGAGAAGTGTCTGAAGAACAGCAAAAAGAATAATAATCTTAGCATAGCACTCCTTAAACCAGTAAACTTTCTCAAAGTATGATTTAAGATTATTGGCATCTTGTTATTCTGTGAGGCTTGATACAAATGCAGATTCCTGTGTCCCATCAAGACCTGCTGAATGAGAATATCTAGAGGTAAAGTCAAGGAACCTGCATTTTAGAAAAGCTCTCTAGGTGATGAGGAACTGCTGCCTTAACTCTTGCATTTTGGTTCCTACTGAAACTGTTCCTTTCTATTTTAGGGATCTCATCAGTACCCACAAGACTATTTATGCACATAACTCACAAATCTCTTGAACCTAGACTTCTCTTCCCAATCACATATCTGTAATACCAAATACCTGCTAATTATCTCCATCAGGATATCATGACAACTCAAAGCTTCCAGAACCAAGATTATCATCTTCCCCTCAAAATAAGCTCCTTTGGGGCTCCTGTCTTTCTGCTAGCAGCAGCCTAGTTCAGGGATTTAAGCATTCAAATCATCCTTTCTCTGCTTCCTGCACCTGAGCAGTTACAAGACCACAGAGAGGCTACCTCCAGTCTCCTGAATAGACCCACTTCATTCCAACCCACTGCTCCAACTTAGTTACAGTCCTTGTTACTTCTTGTCTGGGTTGCTCCGTCAGCTTCCAAATTATTACAGTTTCCCTGCTTTCCTCTCCTCCCTGAAGAATCCACTGTATAAAATGCTGCTGCCAATTTAACTGACAGCACAGATACTATCACGTAATGACATCCCCACTTGAAAATTGTCAATGGCTCCCCAGTGTCTACAAGTAAGCACAGGCTCCTTATCCTATCATTCAAAGCCTTCGACAGCACTTAATCTATCTCTTCAGGTGTTTCTTGCCACACATTCTAATTATACTGTTTTCTGAACACACCACACACTTTTATATCTTCATTCCTTATGTTCACCCATTCTTATCTAAACATCTGTCTGTCAAGGCTCATGTCAAAGATGACCTCTTCCAGAAGACTTTCCTAATGACCCAGAGCAGATCAATCTCTTCATCCTATGAACACTTAGGGCATTTACCTTGTATCTTTCTTATGATTCTCACCTTACTCTAACTTAGATTATAGTATCTGAACATTCATCTACCATCTTCACCAGACTATAAACTCCTTTGTGGCAAAGACTATGTTTAACTCATCTACCATATACACTTAATCCATAGTAAATACTGACTGATTTTCATGAACAGAGAAATTAGATTTCAGGGGATACATGCTAGAGAACTGTAACGTACTTTCTGTTTTTCTTTATACTTAGAAGTAATAAAACTATATTTCCCTAAAGATTCATTTATTAAGTGTTAATTTATCAGTTAGTATGCATTGTGCATTCTCTAGGATCTAGAGAAGCTGTGGGAACCAAAAGATTAATGAGACAAAATCCTTGTCCTCAAGGAGCTTATTGACCAGCAGGGTAAAAATAAAATGCACTTGTGTGCACTTGCATAAAATAACTCTTATGCTAGGGAGGCTGTAGTAACTGACATTAAAAACATATGAATAGTCTTATTAGTTCAGAAAATGGAGATACCTACCACCCTCAGGCTTTGGAGCAACATTGCTATAAAAATGCTGCATAGAGCAGAATAATTCCGAAGGGTGTTTTTTTGTAGTGGGGTTTAAATGTTTCTCTGAAACAGGTACACAAAAAACAGGTGCACCTCACCATTAATATACAAATGCCTGCAAATTTCCTTGACTTCTGATCTATGGCTATATACTTAGAAAACAAGTTTCAGATGTTTTTGAGAAAAAAAAAATCCTTGAAGTTTGGGAGAAAAAAATCCATGCATCTAAAGTACATTAAAGTATTTAAGAAAAGTTTAGCAAAAATGAACTTTGAAAAGAGAAATCTCATACTTAGTCAAACTAAGATATTCCTTATAAATATAACAAAAACTAAAAGAACTGTAATACTACCTTCATTAATAAATCTTTAAAAATCCAAAATCATAAGACTATTCTATCCATTTTGAAGCAAACTTGCAAAAGATGATACAAAATATAATGTGCATCATGAAAACCAGGCATTTATAGTCCCTAACACTACCTAGAAATTTAAATTCAAGCAATTTTGCAGCTTAGTTGGTTACCTAGATCAAGTAAGAGGTCAGAACAGAATCCTAAATTACTTATTCAGTAATGTGAAACAGAAAACAAACTCATATTAAAATAGCTAACATTTAAAAAATAAAACCAAACACATAAAAACCTGACAACATCCAGTGCTGACAAGAACATGGAACAATGGGAACTGACATACATTGTTGATAGGATTCAAAATGATAAAGCCACTTGGAAAACATTTTGGCGGTTTCTCATGAAAATAAAGATGTGTTTACCAGGTGATCCAATAATCCTACCCTTAGGTACTTATGCAAGTTAAATGAAAACCTAAATTCACAAAAAAATCTGCATATGAATGTTCATAGTAGCTTTATTCATAATCACACACAAAAAATAGAAACAACCCAAAGGCTCTAGCTGGGGAAAGGATAAACTGTGGTATATCCACACAACGGAATACTACTTAAGGATATAAAGGAACAAAATCATGGATGAATCTCAAAAAGTCAGATTCAAAAGGCTAATTACATTTATATGACTTTTTGGAAGAGAGAAAACTATTGGGACAGAAAACAGGCCAGTGATTGCTAGGGGACAGGGGTGGAAAAGGGGTGGTGACAAGGGCATGCAAGTCTTGAAGTGGTGGTGGTTACATGGTTGTGCTTGTCAAATTCACAGAACTGTAGACCAAAGACTGAATTGTACTGTATGTAACCTGTGCCTTAATCTTAAAAAAAAAAAAATTTTACAGAAACTAAAAAGATAAAAATAACATAATTATTTTTTCTGAAATATTCCCAAATGAATTCACTGCTGAAAAGAAGTGAATGAAAGCATAAAGTACAAACAAATTTATTTTCTACTTTAAAATTAGAAGTCAAATCCAAAATACCAATTGATTCAAGTAAACCATGATTTGGTGATTGAGGCTATAAAAAGACAGTACAAAATACTACAGTAATACCAACTGTATATGAGGTTGGAGAGGTAACTCATTCTTTTTCCATTTTGTCCAAATCTGCATGTGTCATCTTTACCCTAAGTCAGATTACCCACGCCACACATCAGAGTGAGCTTGGCTGAAAATAGATAGCTTATAAACTTCCGTGACTTCTCTATCCCTGATTCACTCTCCAAGCTGCACCCTTTCTAAGCCTTGGCTTTGTGCCTGTCCAATCACTGCACCGCCCCATGGATCTGGCTCAACTGCATTCTTTGAAAATATTTTTTCCCCTCAAAAGATTCTAAGTGAGAATAAAACAGTGATCTTGGCCGGGCGCGGTGGCTCACGCCTGTAATCCTAGCACTATGGGAGGCCGAGGCAGGCGGATTGCTCGAGGTCAGGAGTTTGAAACCAGCCTGAGCAAGAGCAAGACCCCATCTCTACTATAAATAGAAAGAAATTAATTGGTCAACTAATATATATAGAAAAAAATTAGCCGGGCATGGTGGCTCATGCCTGTAGTCCCAGTTACTCGGGAGGCTGAGGCAAGAAGATTGCTTGAGCCCAGGAGTTTGAGGTTGCTGTGAGCTAGGCTGACGCCACGGCACTCACTCTAGCCTGGGCAACAAAGTGAGACTCTGTCTCAAAAAAAAAAAAAAACAGTGATCTTACATGAAAAATAATTCTGGGAAGTAAAACAAACTGATAAACTGTAAAATATAATTCCTTTTAATATTATTCACAGAATTGAATTTTCATATGATCTTCATATAAGCACACTTTGAAGATGAACAAGAAGTGTACCATACCTCCAGGAAAAAGTTAACCAAGTAGGGATCCTGTTTCAGCTTTGCACACACAATACAGAGAAACTGAATCTCCTCATTTTCCGTTGGTGTCGCAAGGACTTCACCGCAGAGTCGAATTAATTTCTGTCAAAATGTTTTTAAACTTTTAAAACTTAGGCTACTTTTTACAAGTATGTAAATAACCATTCTTTTACCTTAAGGATATTTAAAATATTCAAATGATGTAAATACCCTGCATTAATCAGATAGAACACTAATAATATTTATATTTACCTATATCAAAATAAATTTACTAGTAGTAAAATTTTCAAGTTCATTATCCTAAAAAACCAATGAGGTATATAATAAACTCTCTTTCAGATGTCATGGAGGCAATAAAATAAAAGGAGAACTAATGTATAAAATTTTAAAAGAGAAACAGAAAGACATGAAGTGCACTTAATGCAATGTCATGCATAAGGAAAGCTCAAGTATTTGCTAATTTGCATGTTAATTTTAGAATAAATATCCTTTATTATTTTTACTCTTATAAAAATCAATATAAAATTATTTCAACACTGAAAGAAATCCAACCAAATAATTTTATATACGGAGAACAAAATACCTGCACTGGCCTATGCACGTTAATGTGTGGCAGTAGTGGCTGCCGGATCCTCCCCAGAAGCTTAGTATAGAATACCAGAACCTGCTGTTTCATTCCTGGAGGACACTGGGTACAGGAAAAAAGGAAGGAAAGCCAGTAAGAACACATTTACTCAAAAGCTTTTAAAAAAAAAAGGAGAGACAATATATGTGAATGTATTCTACCCTCAAATGACAATGCAATCGGCCAGTTAATGACTTTGTCAGATTAAAATGTTTAATAAAATGTATTCTAGACTTGTATTCTAGAAAAAAAATTATGCACCTGAGACAATAATATAGCGTAAGAGACCACAGGCTCATGTAATTACAAACAGCATAGTGATAATACCTTGCTGAGATAAGAGTTTGGTTCAGGCAATGTCAACTTGTTTATATTCTAAATGCTGAGGTAACATGAAACTATAGTAGGCAACTCTCTGCCAGAACAACAGCAGAATCTTGTTACTGACCAGCGGCCCTTAACCTTTTTGGCACCAGGGATCAGTTTCATGGAAGACAGTTTTTCCACAGACCATGGAAGGGGGTTGGGGCAGCAGAGCTCTGCGGCCCAGTCCCTAACAGGCCATGGACCAGTGCCGGTCCACCAACAGGGGTTTAGGGATTACAGACTTACAATAATGACAGGTGATCAAGAACTTTCCATCATCTCTGTAGGAGTAAATAAAGCCTCCTAACACATACATGTAAATAAAAAGAATCCTATGGTATTAACTGTTGTGACTAATTCTAACTTAGAGTAGTCCTTCAGTATCCATGGAGGATTGGTTCCAGGACCCCGCACGTATACCAAAACTTTCATATACTCAAGTCCCACAGTTGGCCCTGCACACAGGCAGGTCTCACATCCCAAGAATACTGTATTTTTGAGCTGTGTTTGGTTGAAAAAATCTACATATAAGTGGGCCCTTGCAGTTCAAAACCATGCTGTACAAGGGTCAACTGTAGTTGCAAAATTATTTACATTATGATTATTATAGGCAAAGAATATTTAATAAAGAAGTTTTAGGCCTAGCATGGCAGCTAACATCTATAATCCTAGCACTTTGGGAGGCAAAGGTGGGAGGAAGCTTGAAGCCATGAATGTGAGACCAGCCTGGGCAACACAGTAAGACCCATCTCTACAAAAAAATAAAAAAAATAAGCCAGTGCACACCTGTAGTACCAGCTACTCAGGAGGCTGAGCCAGGAGAATTGCTTGAACCTAGGAGTTTTGAGGTTGCAGTGAGCTATGATGATACTACTGCACTCTAGCCTAGGTAACAGAGTGAGACCATGTTTCAAAAAATAAAAAAAGTGAATTGGAACATTACAGAGTTAGTTTATTTTTTTTTAGCCCCCACTACAGAGTTAGTTTAAAGGAAATTAATCTCTAATACTATTATTCATAATTCTATTTGGTATTAAAATGTGTCTATTAGTTTTTTCTGGTATAATTTGATTTTTCACATATATTACAGAAATTCATACAACCACATATTTCTAGAGCTGGGTGAGCAATCACTTCCTTGTTTTTAAAGAGGAGGAAGATTAACCACGGAGACCTGTGGAAGGTCACAATGCGTTAGTGACAGAGCTGGGACCGGAAGCCAGGCCTCCTAACCCAAACCTAAGCCTCTTCCTCTTCCCTCATACTGCCACATGGTTTAAAAATTTGTACTCATAAACAATTTGAAGGTTTCATGGTACAAAATATCATAAGCTTTACAAAGATCTTTCAAAATTCCTTAGGCCTAAAATTTCGAATTGGCTCCAATCATTAGTTGAGTTAATCTCAGAATAATCTCTGACATTTTCCTTCAGGACTATGAAAAATAATTCCTACTTTTGTAACCCAATTTTTCCTGGCTTCTTTCTCGAATCTTTGGATTCTGAGAACGTGTACTTCAAGCTTATTTTCATATGTTGTTTACACTGGAATTTCAAGCTGCCCAATTACCGGTTGTTGTCTAGAGCATTTGGGAGCTTTGCTATCTCTACAGACATCATATTTGTACAGGCCACACAATTTTCTTTTTTCCACAATCTTAACATGAATCCTGCTGTGTTCAGTACATACCTAATTAAATCAAGTACTTGGCAGCTTCTTTTTCTCTAAAGCATTAATGCATGTATTACATGTCCAAGAACATGATGTGGATTAGGGACTTACATCAGCTTTCCCTAAGGTGTATAACGTTTCCAAGATCTTATGATGGAGCAAATATTCCATACACGGCCCAGTCTCTCCAGATTCCCGTTCATTTTCTTCTTGAACCAGTATGTCTAACATCTGTTCCAGATGGGATGGAATGTTCGTATCAGTCACTGGGGCTTTATCATCTAAACAATAAAAGACACTCATCAAATATTCAAACATTTTAAAACTGCATATTTGCACCTAAAATATCCTCGATATTTCTAAGAAAAATCGGAACTACACACTTAAGTAAGGTTTATACCCATGGTATGATTATCTCTGCTAGAATTTAAATGATATGTTTTGCATGTTCTTACCCAAAACTGAATCAATATTCTGAAATATATTCTATAAGCTATAATACTCATCCATAATAATTTAGAAATAAGAGCAATTTATGTGGGAAATAGAAATATAATCAGGAAAAATATATGTAATATCAAAATTTTCTATATACTTGTAATTCTTTTTCCACTTAGCCAGTTCAGAAGATCTGAATTTTAAGTCTCTTTATATAGAAACAGGTTGGCCTGAATATTAAACTGAAAAACCTAAGAAATGTGAAAAGGACAGGTTCTGGTTTTGATTGCTATCATTTTTTTTTTTTTTTTGAAACAGAGTCATATTTTGTTGTCCAGCCTAGAGTGAGTGCCGAGGCGTCAGCCTAGCTTACAGCAACCTTAATCTCCTGGGCTTAAGCAATCCTACTGCCTCAGCCTCCTGAGTAGCTGGGACTACAGGCATGTGCCACCATGCCCAGCTAATTTTTTGTATATATATATTTTTAGTTCACCAATTAATTTCTTTTTATTTTTAGTAGAGACAGGTCTCACTCTTGCTGAGGCTGGTCTTGAACTCCTGACCTCGAGCGATCCGCTCCATCTCGGCCTCCCAGAGGGCTAGGATTACAGGCATGAGCCACCATGCCTGGCCCTACTATATTACTTTGTAACACTGGGAAGTCACTCACTTAATGCCCCTAATCCATTTCCATCTATAAAAATATAAGGAGCCAAAAGGAAAAATCTCTATTCAAATTTCTCATATCTCTTCCTATTAACAACAGATAGCTACTTCCAAAGTCTGTTTTTCAAAGCAGCTTCTCAGGAGAATTCTTATTAAATATTATTGATATTTTTAAAATAACAATTTATTGATATTTTAAACATATAACAGTTGGACTAAAAAATGACATGGTTTTGTTAACCTATCCTTATTTAACCTATTAAGGTTAAATTACTCTTAATAAAATACAAAGTTCTGTAGAACATTTAAGTATAAAATAAATTAGGAAATGACAAGTTCTTACTTGCATCTCCATTGTCATTTACTTAGTACTTCTATAGTTTCTACAACACAATCCTGGTATGTTACATATTGATATGTTGCTTTGTTGTATGTATATACATACATACACATACACATAGTAAACCACATACTACGATTTATGGAGAAAACAGGAGAAAGAGAAGGGTTATCCTTGTGTCCTAGGAGGACACATGTATATAATTTGAAATGGTACACAGGTGTTGAAGGCACAGGCCCTAGAGTTAGACAACTTGGATTCAAATCTTGGGTCTACTCTTAGCTGGATAACCTGGTGCAAATTATTGAAGCCTCAGACACCAACATCTAAACACTGCCAAGTGCTGTTGTACAATTTCAATGAAATGCCTTAGCACATAGTAAGAACTCAAGAAATGTTAACTTACTATGTCTCATTTCATATTCTAAAATGAGTAGCCTAGCACTAAGAAAAGATAATTTGTAAGTTTACTTGTAAATTACTTTTTAAAATGTTTTCCCCCTAGAATTATAGACTTTATATACACAAACACTCCGGAAAGAATGAATGTCCAAATATGGTTTGATTATAATTATTTATGGGTAAAAAATTGACCAGAGAGACGTTTTAAATTGAGAAACAAATTAAATGTAAATTTGACTTACTAGGATTAAAATTCTAGTTCCCTAGAAGACAAGATCTAGTTTCTGCCACCTACGCTTGTCGTTTCTAAACTATAAATGTCAGTGCCTTTACATGCGTTACTCCTTCCACCTGCAATGCCTTTGCCCTCCTCACCTCCCTTGCAATCTCCTATTCTTCCTGAAATGCCCAGGTCTGACACTGTATCCTTTCTCTGTATCTGACACTTTACCTAACACAGACTTTATTATCTTTCCTATAACTTATTGTAATTTATATACTTGTTTCTGTTACTAGGTTGAAAAAATTCTTTTAAAGCAAGAACTTATGCATTTCCTTAAAGCCATGGAAGGGGAAAATATCACAAGGGTTATGAAAAGTCATCTGAAAAGGAAGCTTCTTTCAAAAACCATTTCTGTAAGTCTGCTGGCTAAATATCCAAATGAAGTTAGAAATTATATTTTACATTTAAAGGTATAAATATTTTCTTGTCTGATTTTTACTTATTGTACAAAATAAAAAGAATTTTTTTCTTTTAAGGATGAATCACCTATGACCGCATGAGTTTGCCAAATCAGCTATTCTCACTTTTTCATGTTTCCTTTTCGTTAAATGACCTGTGTCCAATCTGCATATCCCCTAGTGTTTGCCTGTACATTCACCAAGGGAGCCTGTAGTGACATGTAGCAATGTCCCTATTTCACATGTCCTTATTTCAGAGGCTGCCAAACTTTGGCCTATGGGCCAACTCCAGCCTTGTCATCAGTTTTTGTAAATAAAGTTGTATTGGAACAAAGGAATGCTCATTCTTTGACATATTTTAGTGGCTGCTTTTGTACTACAATGGAAGAGCTAAATAGTTACAAAGAATAAAATATTACCTGGCTCTTTGCAGAAAAAGTCTGCCAATCCTTGACCTAAATTTATTCACATTCCACGTATTCACTTTCTATCCTTCCTATTCACTGAGAAAAATAGAAGCAACCAGAAGATAACTTCTAAAAACTCCCTGTAATACATCTATTTGCTTCCTGCATTTATACCTTTGTTCTACTTTCTAGTTTATTTTGATGGATGAATTATCCACACACCTATTTAAGGCCAAGCCTCCACCTGTGCATCACATCCTCCCTTGCCTACTTAAAGATATTGCTCGGAAATTATCTCACCTTACTCTTGTATCCACTTTTTCCTCTACTAGATTGTTCCTATCAAATTATGAATTGCAATATCTTAAATCTTTTTAAAAACTTAGGGGCCATGTGCAGTGGTTCATGCCTATAATCCCAGCATTTTGGGAGGCCGAGGCAAGAGGATCACTTGAGGCCAGGGTCTCGAGACCAGCCTGGGCAACATAGCGAGACCCCAACTCTACAAAAAAAAATTATTAATAGCTGGGTGTGGTGGTGCACACCTGTAGTCCCAGCTACTCAGAAGGCTAAGGCAGGAGGATTGCTTGAGCACCACTGCACTCCAGCCCAGGCAATAGAGTACGAGCCTATTTAAAAAAAATTGTTTTAAAACACTCTCTTGCCACATCTCTTTCTCAGCTCCCCATTTTCTCTTAACCTACTGCAATTAGGCCTCCTCTTTACTCCCTGACATTAAAATGGCTCTTATCAGGAATACTAATGTGTTCCTTGTGGCTAAATCCAATGGTCCATTCTTAGTCTTCATCAACCTGACTTCAGCATCACTTGACACAATTAATTCTTCTGTCCTCTTCTAGGCTTCTGGGATATCATTCTCTCTTGGCTGTCTTCCACCTCACTATTGTCCTCATCTTCCAACCTCTATACATGGAGCCAAAGGCTCAGTTCCACAACACCTTCTCTCCTTCATCTATCCTAACTCAGATAACCCCACCAGCCTCATGGTTTTAAATCCCACTTACATGCTAACAATTCTGAATTTCATATCTCTGGCTTAAACTTCTACTCTGAAATCCAAATTCCTCTTGCCAATTGTCTACCTGACATACCCAGTTGGGTATATAAAGGACATCTTAAACTTAACATGCCCCAAATTCTCTACAAACCTGCTCATATTGCAGTCTCCACATTCCCAGTAAAGGACACATCTCGTCTTCCAGCTGCTTGAGCCCAAAGCTTTGGAGTCATCTTTGACTCTTATTCTCTTATACCCAATATCAAATCCATCAATACACCTTCCTTCAAAAGATATCCAGAATACAATCGGGTGGTGGTCTAAGCCACCATCGTCTCTTGCTTAGACCGCTGTGACAGCACTCTAACTGTTCTGACAGCTTCACCTCTCTATTGCTTCAATCTAATTTTTTTTCAAAGAAGCCAAAGTGATCACTTTAAAACAGATTATGTTATAGCTCTACTCAAAACTCTTCAAAGGCTTCTTTTAGAGTAAAAGCCAAAGCCCTCACCATGGCTTATGAGAGCCTGTGAGAACCTGCACCCCTGGCCCCCCACCTCTGTCTAATTTCATTTCATACCGCTTTGCTCTACCCACACTGGCTTCCTTGCAGTTCCTGGATATGCCAAGGCCACCACATGCTCCAGCCCCAGGGTTTGGGTGTTGTCATCTTCCTGGGACACTCTTCCCCCAGATTTCTACCTGGCCTGCCTCCTGTCTCCTTTAGATTTCAGCTCAGAAGTCACTTTGGGCAACAAGGCTTTCTCTGGCCTAAAATGGCCAAATGCCCACCCCCATCCTCACACACACGCTTCTATCCTCCTCAGCCTGCTTCATTTTCTCCTTAACACCAATCTCCTGACACACTATGCATATCTGTTGACTAACGGCCTCCCCTGCCAATCAATATATCAGCTCTACTAGGACAGGGATGTTGCCTGATTGTTCGATCCCCCAGTAGCTAGAATAGTGCCTGACACATAGTAGGTGCTCAGTAGATATATTTTCAAATGACTGAACCTAAAAGATGAATTAAAGGTAAAATTGTGTATACACTTCAATATAAAATAACTTTGAAAACTTACTTGAAATATATTTTAGTATTTCATACATTTTCTATTTAATTAATACCAGCATTGTTCTTACCTGAAGTCTCTATGTAGTAATGGGTAATTGCCTTCCAGTGATAAACAAAATCTTCTTGTAAAGGAAGAGAAGGTGCAAGCTACATAAACACACAAAAAGACCACAACAATTAAAAACATGGCATTAAAAGTTTCCAATAAAGTATGACTCTGTATTTGTATATTATGATGCAAAAACAGCATAAAAAAACAAGGGGTGAGCTTTAACTTGTTTCTATATGTCAGACATCAAAGAGAAACAAAATGAGTTGAATCCAAGAAAGTAAAAATGATTTATTAAGAGAGAGGAAAAAAAACATTTGCCAATATTATTATTAAACTACAATTTTGGGCTTTTCCCCCTCCCCTCAAACTAGTAACTACATAAGACTTCAAAAGTAACTATGTTAAATGAAAACACATCAATATTCTTGTAATGAAGTATCTTACATAAAATGAAGTTATTGATAACCAGGATCTTTGAACCTAGGACTTTGAAATGCAAAACAGTAAAGCTGCCATGTAATTTGTTACACATCACCACTACTAAAACATATACCAAAGTCAACTTCATAATCAGATTAAACCTATGCCCTACATTCAGTAACACACAGATGTAAATCTTTTCTTTTTTAAGCCTGGATTAAGCAGTATATACTTTTAGTAAAATAGCTACACTGCCAATTTAAATTTCACAAAGACAAAAATGCTCTACTTTTAGGTTTAAAATTTACTTCAGATGTTTTAGACTAAAATTATATCCCTTCAGCCATCTCATCACAGCAAACCTACAAGTATTTCAAATGTGTTAAACAAATAGAAAAACACTTGGATGCTCCTTCTACGACATTTTCTTTTACTTAAAAAGAGTGAAAGAGAGTAGAGCTCCTCTAGACCTAGTGTGCCCAATAAATTTTGGTCAGAAAGTATGGAGTTGACCCAGTTTAGTTCAGAACAAGTAGGTTTCTATTCTGGGAGCCTAAGATATGGCAAAAAGTAATCTTCCACTTTCATATACTCCCTCTAAACAGGCGGTCTAAAAGAGGTCATGCTACTCCTGCACTTCTACTTGTACCACTTTGATTTCTTGGTGTCCTCAGCATTGACCTCAGAGTTGGTAACTCTGTCAAAACAATTTCCAAATGATTGTTCAAATTATAAACATTGGTCATAAACATCTTCAGTGTTTCAATTGAGATGAAATGTATTTATGAAAAAAAAATGGACCTGAAAATTTTTCCATGACCATCAACATCTTAATGCATCTGCTACATTTGCTTATTCGCACTATGGATAGTACTGTATTAAGAGAGTGTAAATATTCACCTCATTTTCAAATAGAATGCTATGAAATTTTTAAAAAGACCATAAGAAACAAGTTAAAACCTTGCAGAATACTGAATTTCAAGGAGAACATGGAGAGAAAAATACTTATGAAAGACTAAGAAGAAAAACTATGAAGAAAATTAAGACAACTTGGGAAGACAGAACAATCTTCCTGAGATTTTTAGGTTGAAAAAAATCTTTTTTAATTGGCTACTTGTTTTTAGAATCCTCTCCAAAATCTATAAAATTTCCCTTATGTTTTGGACCTAGCTTTAATAGACTAGCATGATACAGTTAAACGTTTTAACTAGTGGGACAAACCCAAATGAAATTTGCTGTTGCAGGAACTATACCTAGTTTATTAAGTATAAATGTTATGATTTGTTAAATTTTTCTGAGGGAACCTTCTGGGTATATAAGGAATTACAGCATCCTTATTCCAAATTATTTTACCACTGGGATTTAACTGTATTTCATGGGAATACAAGGGAAAGCCACTAACCAGAGAGGCCCTTACAGGATCTGCGTCAGGACCTTTGCTCTAGGTTATAGTCAAATTCAAAGCAGGATGGTGTTAGTTACTTTGGGAAAGTTTTAAACAAGAAAGCTATTTAAGTAGACAGACAAATAGTTCTAAATCATCGATAACTTAGATTAGTAACAATCTTATTCAAACATGAATAAATTTCCTTTATGTAAAACTTCCTAGAAAACTTGCCTCTTTCATTACTAATTCTAACATTGCAAATTGCCCATTTTATCAGTGCACCAAAACATTTATACTCTGAGTTTGAAAAAAAGATGTTTGAATCAGCACTAGAAGATTCTAATTTAACTTTCTACAATACAGAGATTATATTCCTTAAAAATTCATGAAATCACTATCTCAACCAAAAATTGACAAGAACAAACACATAACTGGACTTTGTCTTCTCTGGAAAGCCTTCTCAGGCTCTTCCTGCCTAGGATGGAGTGAGTTCCTTCCACCTCTGCCTTAGCACCCTCCGTGGTCTGCTCCCTCTCTCCTAGTCCTGTCCCACTTTTGGCATTGTCTAATTATCTACCTCTTCTACTCAACTGTCAGCTCTACAAGGGCTGGCATTGTGTCATCCTTTTCATCACTGAATCTCTAATTTCCAGCTAAGTGAAGGCACAAAGTATTCAATAATATTTATTAAGTGCATAAATGGATAACACAGAAGGTGCCACCATTTAACATGCAGGTATGTGCCAGGTGCAGTGCTACAAAGTTTGTATACACTGTATGGTTTTAAATTCTCACAATAAACTCCTATTTTGCTCAAACTCCTAGGACCCAAAGTTAGTTAACAGACTTGAGTTAACTAACTGCTTATAACTAGAAACCTGGACTTTCTCCAAAATGCCCATCACACAAAAGAATCTACATCAACAAATCAGATGAAATCTAGTGTTCTAAAGTCCATCTCTGCTTTTACAGAACATGAATATTACATGAACATTCTTGGCTGGGTGCAGTGGCTCACACCTATAATCCTAGCACTCTGGGAGGCCAAGGCAGGAGGACTGCTTGAGCTCAGAAGTTCAAGAACAGCCTGAGCAAGAGTGAGACCCTGCCGTTTCTACTAAACATAGAAAAATTAGCCAACGTACACCTGTAGTCCCAGCTACTCAGGAGGCTGAGGCAGGAGGATCTCTTGAGCCCAGGAGTTTGAGGCTGCAGTGAGCTATGATGACACCATTGCACTCTCTCTACCTGGAGAACAGAGTAAGACTCTGTCTCAAAAAAAAGAGAAAATTGAACCCCCTCACTCTCTTCCATATTAAAAAACTTTTTTTTTAATTTAAAAGGAAAAAAAAATGCCCATCACAGAAAAGAATCTACATCAAAAAATCAGATGAAAACTAGTATTCTAAAAGCCATCTCTGCTTTTACTGAACATGAACATTAAATGAAAATTCTACTCCCAGATCTTTAAAAATGCTTCTTCCTAGGCCCAGTACGGTGGCTCATACCTGTAATCCCAGCACTTTGGGAGGCCAAGGTGGGAGGACAGTTTGAGGCCAGCCTGAGCAATATAGCAAGACAGCGACTCCACAAAAATTTTTTTTTTAAAAGCTAGGGGTGATGGTGTGTGCCTACAGTCCTAGCTACTCAGGAAATTGAAGTGGGAGGACTGCTTGAGCCCAGGAGTTTGAAGATGCGGTGAACTATGATTGTTCCACAGCACTCCAACTTGGGTGACAGAGCAAGACCCTGTCTCAAAAAAAAAAAAAAGAAGCCTCTTCCTGCCCCAACTTTCCTAACGCCCTTCCCCATCTTCTGTGCCTCCCCAAAGTCCAGCTCACTTCCTCCAGAGAGCCTTCTTTAACTACTCCAATCCCAAGTGCTTGCTCCCTTTCTCCCGTAGAACTCACTGACTGAACCAATCATCCAAATAATAATAGTAATGGTTAACATTTATTGAGCATTTACTATGTGCTAAACACTGTGCTAAGCACTTCATATATATTATCTCATTTTAATCTTCACAATTCCATAAGTTTAATTATTTCCATTTCATAATAAAGAAATCAAAATGTACAAAGATTAAGTAGCTTATGCAAGTGTAGAAGTAAGGGATAGGGGCAGGACTGGATCCCTATTTTGTCTGGCTCCAGCAGCTAGGTCACATTCTTGTGCCTTCCTTACACTATAATTTAACTTGTGTACTCATTTTGTTTCCCAAACTAAACTGCACGTATCATGACCAGGGACACAGGTAAACCTCATACTGTGTGCCATGTTTTCACTGTGGCTCATAGAACATTTGCTGAATGAGTAAAGGACTAAAGTTAGAGATCACTTGCTGGAAAAAATATACCTAAGAACACATTACATATGGTTGATTTAAGGTTTTAATTCCCCAGGCAGAGAAGATTTTTCAGTAATTACTAGTCCCAATAACCATCATCTGGAGTGCAGTGGAACAATGATAGCTCACTGCAATCTTGAACTTCTGGGCTCAAGTGATCCTCGGTTGTCCTGCCTGAGCCTCCCAAGTAGCTAGGACCACAGGCACGCACCACCAGGCCCTCTAATTTTTTTTCTTTTTTGTAGAGACAGGGTCTCCTGGCCTCAAACAATCCCCCACTTGCCTCTAGGAAAGTGCTAGGATTATAGGTGTTAACTGTAACTTGAAGGAAAAACACTGCATGTGAATTTGGAAAGAGGACTTCACTGAATTAGTTAAAATAGATAAAACTTTCTTCCCTGACACTGCCCTTTATCATCTCTGGAATAAATCTGCCCTTGAGGGGGGAACAGTTTGGAATTTAAGAGAAATCAGCCCTTGGCACATTCCCTAGTGAGGACTATGCCTTCAACAAATAGGAAATTGTACTAAATGGAAAGTTTTATTTATCCTTTGGAGAAGTTGTGCTAAAACAATCCAATCTAACCTCAGAACTAACTACTAGATACGCCTGATTTCTGATTTCAGACTTGTGATATGTGGCAATTGGCTAGCGGAACAGATTAATTTCACAAGACTTACTGGCCAATCATTTCTATACTGAGGGAAGAGTGTCATTTCTAAAAAAGGAGGCAAGAATGACATTACAGTTCTTGTTTTTGATCAAGGTGTGAATTTCTCTCCTTTACTCAAAATGCAGTCTGTCAGCTTAATAACACATTTTCCAATACTAATCTTTGAAAATACCTTATATTTTTCTCCTTATAAGTAGTTATAAGGAGTGGGGAGAAACAAATAAGAAATATACTACACTTAAACCTCATTTATATGGCTATGGTTATCTGGTCAACCCTAAAAAACCATTTGAAGACCGATCCAATATTCAAGGAAAACTGGACAGTAACAATACCAAAACAGTTGGGAAGACATTACTTTGCAGATTCACACAATGACATGATTGAAAAAATGTCATGTCAGCATCCAGGTACATGATTATCTTCAGTCTCTGTATAATCCTAATAATTATGTTAAATGGAATACTGCATCAGAAAATGCTAATTGGGTATACAAATTAAAAGGAGCACAGAGAAAAGCTAATGAACTGAGGAATAAGATTATAGAAGATAATATCAAGCAACTTAATAAATAGAACTGAATAACTAGAAACTATTCTTGGGCTACAAAAAAACATTCTTCAAATACCAGAAGGATGGCTCATTCATCATTACATATGAGTTCATTCCCAGGACAAAATGTTAAAAGGAAAAAAAGTACACTACATCCAAAATTTTTCATGAGATTTAACCTCCTATCAAGACAAACTGGGTGGTACTACAGCTGAAAAGATTAGCTCTAAGCAAAGGAAAACATTACATTTCTAAAGGTAATGCATTAATTCCTAGGACCAAGTGATTATATCTCACTAACCTCAGCAAAGTAGAGAACCTGGACATGACAGAGCCAGAGTCAGACAATTTATGTGGATAATTTGGTAGATGCTAATACATACAATTATAAAAAGATAATGAGGACGGAAAACACAGGCCTGGGGACAAAAGTAAGCCTTTACTGGGAGAGCAAGAAAGCCATCTTTGTTTTTCTAAGTACTTGTTTCTGTAAATATCAGCCTGATAGGTACTTACAGGATATAAACACAGTATCTGTGGGGGACTGGTTCCAGGACCTCTCCCTGCTCTCCATATCTAAGGATGTTCAAGTCCCTGATATAAAATGGCAACGTACTTACATATAACCTATGTACCAGCCTCCCATGCCCGCATACTAATCATCTCTAGATTACTTATAATACCTAATGCAATGCCTACACATCACTTCATTCACATAGATTCAACATAGTATTCAGCATGTGGCAAATTCAAGTTTGTTTTTTGGAACTTTGTGTAATTTTTTTCCCCTGAATATTTTCCACACAAGGTTGGTTGAATCCAGATGTGGAACCCACAGATAAGAGAACCAACTGTAATGTAATAAATTTTAATTCCCAGTTACCTCTATTAAGCTATATTCAGCGTTAAAAATTAAATGATTCTTGGTATTTTGAAGAAGACAAAATGAAAATGTCTGTTTTTATAAATATCAGTTAAATTCTTTTAACAAAGGTGCTGTAGTAGCTTGAAGTGTAAAAGAGTGGATAACTAAAAGATGTCTTAAAGCCTACAGCTTACCATCTATAAGACCTGCTCGTCATTCATGAAACCCTGTCTTTATTGATTGGATACGTTTTCCCAAAAGCTTGTCCTAGAGCTAAACTTTTTAACAGCTCCTGTGTATCACTTAAATCACTATGGTACTAAAGTTTTGTTTTTATTACTAAAATCAAAAACTCTACGTTATCTTTACCTAGCCACAAAAGTTACTTTGTTGTAACTGATGTTTTCAAAAAGTTGTGTAGACTTTTAAAGCGCTGTATCACATCATCTGAGCATAGGAAGAGAAAGCCACTTTTAAAATCAGCAAAGTAATTGTTTCTTCACAGGATGCATTTTTCAATTTGGGCAATTCTCCCAGAAGAAAGTAAACAACTAAAGTAAAGCAACTAGCCCTCTTATTAAAACAGCAGCAAGGCATTTTCTTTTTAGTTTCTTCTCGTTTATTAGTCTATGGGGATTGTTTGGATGATGTCTCACTATGCTAGTGTCTAAAATCCTCAGAGGTGGGTACAATTGCAGGACAAACCGAAGAGTGTCCAGGAAGCGCATTGGACAAGAAAGGAAACAGATGGTCTCTGTGCGCGGAAGCTGTCGAAGGCGAACTCGATTGGACCCTAGAAACTCGGGTTTCAGAACAATCAATGGAGCCCGGCTGAGTTCGGCCGCCAGGCCTGGGAGAGCAAGAGCCAGCCAGACTGTGAAACGGCGTCTGCCCGGCCGCTCCCCCGCCGGCGTCGCCCACAGCAAGACCACCCCTCTCCCCCGTACCCCCAAACAGAACAAAACAGAACCCAACCCAAGCAGCGCCTGGCCGTTTCTTTTGTTTTGCTCAGCGCTGCCCACTTTCTTCCGGACGAGGCTAACGGTCAGGGAGCCGGGCGGGCGCCCGCGACCCCGCCAGGTGCGCCCGACCCGCCGGGGAGTGAGGCGCCCCCGGGCGGGCCGGTCCTCCGCGGCAGCCCGCCGCCCGCCTGGAGGAGGCGGGAGCCACGCCGGCCCGCGGCGCAAGCAAAGGGGCCTGCGCGGAGCCCGGCCGAGGCCCCCGAGCGCCCGCCGCGGCCTCGCCTCCCCGGAACAGGGCGCCAGGGCCGGCCGAGGCCGCCGGCTCCCCGGGCGGCGGGAGCGCAGGCCGCCGCCATCTCGGCCTGCGAGCGCCGCGGCCTTACCGCCTCCACGGCGTGCTGCAGGATGGAGGTGAACTTGGAGAACATCCTGTCCCGGGACTGCAGCAGCTTCTCCCGGGACGACCTGGAGAGCTCCTCGATCCGCCGCCGCCGCCCCTGCTGCGGCTGCCGCGGCCGCTCCAGAGTGAAGGCCGGTGCGGGGCGCGGAGGGCGAGCGGAGGGCCGAGGCAGGGCCCTGCCCGGCCGCTGCAGGTGTGCGCGGGCGGCGCGGCGGCTCCGGCCGGCGCTGGGACGTGGCGGGCGGTGGGGAGGGCGTTCGGCGCGGACTCGGGCCCCGCGAAGCGGCGGCGGCGGCGGTGGTTCGGGCTCGGACACCGTGGCAGCCCGCTCGGTCTCTTCCGCCCTGGCCGAATTCCTTGCAGCTGCGTTGCAACAAATGATGGAGGCGGTTCCAGGGAGCTGCCCCACCTGGAAGAGGCAACCAGAGGTCTCCTGTAAAGGGGTGGTGGTCAAACCTACAGGACTGCAGGCAGGCGGACAATGGTGTGGGTGACGGGGTTGCATTGTTTCAGGCAAAACGCCTACTTGTGCCAAGGCGTAGGTCCAGGCATTTACAAAAGAGCATCTCAGCTATTCCCCAGCCACCCCAAGAAACAGGCACTATTATATTCCTATTTAATAGATATGGAAACTTGAGGACACAGAGGAGGTCGCAGCTACTTGCCATAGGCAAGTGCAACAGCGCAAGCTTGCATGGTGGGTTTGGAATTGGAACCCAGGCAATCGACTGCTAGCAGTCCCTCAGACTGTGTCCTGCGTCCTGCCAGGCCCTCCACCCTGGGAAGATCCTAGAAGGAAGAGGGTCCATTTCTGACACGCTGCCATGTGCCTGCAGCCAGCACCACACCCACCAGCAGACACTCGCCTACCTCTTCCACTGCCGGCAGGGCCTGGGCTGACCTCTCACCTCCTGGCCCTCTTGCTAGGTATTCCTGCCTCCACCGCCAGGCCTGGGTAAAGTGGCCCTAATCCCAACGTAGTCAGTTCAGGTGGGACAGGCAGGTGGGGCCCAGAGATGTGCCACAGACACCCCCAAAAACACTATCAAGGACTTGTACACATGGGCCTGCTCAGTTCCCCCCCTCTGTCTCCCATCAGCCCCCTCCTCTGCCCCTTGGGGGGTCTTCATCAAAGATGATGGACACTATCCCTCCCTCAACTAGGGTTGAAGATTGAGGGGTGCTGGGAGCAGATAAGGGCTGAGGTCTGTCTTCTTATATACGAGTGGTGTGGCCGCCAGGCCCAAAAATGTGGAGGCGGGTGAGGGTTGCGAAGGGAGGAAGGCAGAGGCTGTGCGGCTAGCAGAAGGACTGGGAAGCAACAGGCCCCGCCTGCCCATCAGAGCACAATCCCATCCCCACCCAGCCCCACCCCTTTTCAGCTTTGGGTGAACTCTCCAATCCACCAGCCCATCACTTAGTGGGAAGGACAGAGCCGCCCCGCCTGTTGCTGCAATAGACCCGCACCACCCCTCACTCCTGCCCTGTTTCCCTCTCTTGGCACCTACCCAATCCCCACTCAGGCCTTGTTCCAGCCCTGTTACCTAATCACGGCTCATCCCTTCCAGTGCCCCCCACAACTATGCATTCCCCATCTATAGTCCAGGCCTCTTGCCCACCCGCCCCCCAATCCACAGGCCTAGCCCCTCACCTGGTCTGCCGCCTGCCTGCGTACACCCCTGTGGACTTTCCCCTGCTGGGCTCCCCTCTTCCTTCCCAGACAGGTATGGCCACAGCACCCTCCTGGCTTCCTGTGCGCCAGGAACCAGCTCCACCGTACACCACTGGAGCCAGGACCCTCAAGACCTTCTTGGGGCTTGGCTAGCAAGCCTCCATGGTCCCCACACCCAGCGCCCCGACGCGGATGGTGCCGATGGCAGGTGGGAGGAGCTCCCGGCCACGCGACCCCTTGAACGTTGCGTTTTTTCTTTCTGGTCTTTTTTTCTTTTTGGTCTCTTTTTTAAACTTCATGAAATAAAACAGCACCCCACTGATCTTTGTTTTGTTTTGAGAATTCATCTCACTCTGTTGGGCCTGGCTGTAGAGGCCGGTGGCCATCCTGCCTAGCTCCACAGCAACCTCACTCCTGGGCTCAACAATCTCCTGCCTCAGTCTCCCGGAGTAGCTGGGATACAGGCAACTCACCAACCTACACCAAAGCTAATTTTTCTATTTTTCATAAGAGACAGGTCTCACTCTTGCTCAGGGTAGTCTTGAATTCTGCCTCAAGCAATCCTTCCACCTCGGCCTCCCAGATTCTAGGATTACTGGTGGTGCACCATGGTACCCAGCCTAGAAGTTTAATTTGACTTTTGGATATTAGGAATTGTTTTATTAATTCATTTATTATTCATTTTAAATTAAGTAAATATGTACATTGTTCCCGAATACATTTTTTTTTTTTAAGACAGAGTCTCACTTGTTGCCCAAGTTAGAGTGAGTGCTGTGGCGTCAGCCTAGCCACAGCACCCTCAACTCCTGCTCAAGCAATCCTCCTGCCTGAGCCTCCGAGTAGCTGGACACAGGCATGTGCCACCATGCCCGCTATTTTTTGTATATATATATTTTAGTTGATCAATTAATTTATTTTTATTTTTGGTAGAGACGGGGTCTCACTCAGCCTGGTTTCAAACACCTGACCTCGAGCGATACGCCCACCTGGGCCTCCCAGAGTGCTAGGATTACAGGGGTGAGCCACCATGCCCGACCCAGGATATATTTTTTAAAAAGTCACCGGGCACAGTGGCTCACCCCTGTAATCCTAGCACCTGGGAGGCTGAGGCAAGAGGATTCCTTGAGCCCAGGAGTTTGAGGTTGCTGTGAGCTACGGCTGAGCCACCCGCACTCCTACCCAGGGCGACAGAGTGAGACTCTGTCTCAAAAAAAAAAGTCTATCTTGTTTTCCTGTTCCTTCCACCTAGCTCCCTTGTCAGGTTTGGGGCCAGCAATCTTGTCTGTTCTTGGTTCTTGGTGTGCTCTTGGCCGAAGAATGACCAGACACACCAAAAGCATAAAAGGAAGTTTATTGAGGAAGGACAAGATAGGTTTACAGAGCAAGAGCAAGATACATTGAGCACAGAATGACGAACAGATCCCTTTGTAACAAAAGGAGCCTCAAACTCCTGAGCTCAAGCTATCCTATCGCCTTGGCCTCCCAGAGTGCTAGGATTACAGGTGTGAGCCCCTCCCCCCCATCCAAGTCCACTGAGTTTTAATCTGTTTACCAGCCTATCACCTTAGGGTTTTTTTTTTTTTTTTTTTTTTGAGACAGTCTCACTTTGTTGCCCAGGCTAGAGTGAGTGCCTTGGCATCAGCCTAGCTCACAGCAACCTCAACTCCTGGGCTCAAGCGATCCTCCTGCCTCAGCCTCCCGAGGAGCTGGGACTACAGGCATGCGCCACCATGCCCGCTAATATTTTCTATATACTATTAGTTGGCCAACTAATTTATTTCTATTTATAGTAGAAGACA